ACAAAGAGTTTCAAAATTTGCCCAAAGCACGGCCATAAAATATCAGAACTACACTGACTCGACCTTCCTTCTCTCCATAATTATTGCTTTCTACGTCGATCACCTTGCCTATCTCTCGGTTTCACTTATTCCTCTCATGTGGAAGCGCCTTGAATGCAGCAATCCTGAGAAGTCGCAAGATCAATTAGTGCAGCCACCCGGCGAGTTACGCACCGTTCTCGACTCGTGGAGGTGCGTGTTGATTTCTCCACTGCTGCTCCGAAATCAGCAAGATTGGCCAGCTTGCTAGAGACTGAAGAGGTACTGAAAATTTTGGACTCCCATCTTATTCCCTAAGAGTACTATTTAATGTGAAATGAGCGCCTCGATGGGTATGAGTCAATGAGCATGCCCTTACCGGACTGTTTTGAGTTGGGAAATGTCTGTAGGTGAGTTGAAGAGGGCAACAACTTAGGAGAAACACCTCTAACGATTCTCTTGCATAAATTCAGACACATATTTAAATTGCACACTTAAAAGCATGCTAATGGAGAACGCTGCCTACTGCTTGAATACACAAACTATGGCTATCTAGAGGTAACTATTTAAGCCGATGATGGCCACGCAACACATAGCACCTCGACTTAACACCAATATTATTTACCAAAAACTGGGCGTGAATTGACTTATTAACATGCATCGGTCCTATCGAATAGGACAATTCACTTTGCCTCACAATCAGTACAGCCGAAACCACTTTGAGACCACTTCTGTAGAAATTATTTAACATTGTCGTTAGTGATCACTGTTGCACGTCTACTTTCTCATACTGAATGAAGGCCTCAACAACCACCTTTTATGGCTGAGTTTGATTTAAGTGCGATTGTCATGAGCGTCAACGATGTTTACGGCACACATGCCTCCAAATTATCTAATTCAGAGCCCCTTCAATCCTAGTGACATTAAGCATCAAATTGCCTCGAAGCGCGCAACCCAAGTCTATTTCTGATGCCGAATCATAATGGTAGTGCTTGGAAAAATAAGTAAAACTGAGAGTATATTTTGAAGGCCCTAGTTATCGCGAACAATGCTTTGGAATAAAACTGCTATTCAGGCGGCAAAGTTTCCTTTATGTCTGGATTTGGCTTTGTTTGCATTTTTGAGGTTGGTTTTCTGCGTAGCACAGAAGCTAGTTTAGATTTTACGGAAGGTACTTTCTCTACCCACCATGACGCCTTAATCTCAGTCAACTTTTGCTCACCGATCGTTGAGAATACTTACATCGTCCTGTTGGAATTTGCAGCAACAATCTAGACCACCTTTATTCACATTCTGCTCATGTCACTGATAGCAGAAAAGAATTTCGGAAGTTCCGGGTGAAACCCATGAATATATCCTCATGAAAATGTGCTAGGGTGAAAATAACACGATTTTAATACCTAGGTTATGCACAGAGAATGTTTGAGCTATCCAGGATCCACCTAGATGCATGTCATTTCTTCTTGTAGAAGAGGTAAATGATCTTTTCGACGAGATGCCGAGTGACAAGGCCAAAAATGCATCAAAACTGACATGGGTTTCACCGATTACTCTAGTAAAGAAAAAGACCAAAAGTCTCCAGCTGTGCATCGAATGCAGACAGCTGAACTCATTAATAAAGAAGGACGCCTTTCCACCGCCCCACCTAAACGACTCTTTAGACTCCCCACACAATTTGAAGTCTCTCCAAGTTAGATTAAATCGGGCTATTACCAAGCAGAGATGGGATCAGTAGGGAGGAGGAGACAGATTTTATGATAAGAATCGAAATTCATGAAATGCAGATGCCATTTTTGGAATATCCAATGCAGCGCCCATTTTACAAAGCCTTCTGCAAAACGCGCAGACTAGACCATTCCCAAACCATTGTGCAATATACCTGAATGGCATACTTGTCTTTGGTTGAGATATTGGGGTTCATAATCTCAACCTCAAATCCCCATTATAGACCGCCTGGAGGATGCAGGTTTGGGACTAAAATGCTCTACAGTGCTCAGCCGATCTTCTGGAATGGAGAATACTGAGGACCACATACAAGAAGTGAAGACCTAGCCAACACTAGTGTAGCGTCCCGAAACTTCCTGAAGACGAAAGAAGACACAGTACTTGGGCAGAATATATATGCTCAGCACGGAGAAGGCGTCTGGGCTATTGGCATGGCCCAAAAGGCCAGACCACCCAGCGAGGTGCAAGGGGCTAATTCAAAGTACAAAAGTGGCGCCTCACCAGGACCGAGGGATAAACCACTATCGTATTACACTAGCCTAGCTCACAGAATATCATAGTGTTCTGGGCTTGACAGGCTACTACGGGGGTTTTGTTAAGGGTTCTCCTATGATTGTTAGCACATTGCATAATCTTACAGAAAATCAAGCGAAAAGGGAATTCATGTGGGGGAAGAAGTACAATGAAACGCTCAGAAATTGAAGCCAGTGGTATGGTTTGCACTAGTTCCAGCATTACCTCTGTCATCTGTTCAGGACACTGGAGTTAGTGATGGCCATGTACACTCGTAAAAGAGTGGCGAAGGCTTCGAGCAATTTATTGCTTATACGAGTGCTAAACTTAACAAATAAACGAAGCAGAGTAATGTGGAACAAAGCGAACTATTCTCTGTTTTCACAATAGTTAAGCGCTTGAGATATAGACTGATATCTAAGGTGACAGTGAGAACAGATCATCAGGTGCTGACCTAGTTAAAAACAAGGAAAGAGATGGATCGTTTGGTGGTGCATCGGTGTGAGGAACTGCAGCAGAACGACTTCACAATATAGTAAGGGAAAGGGATTGCATTTAATAATGCAGATGCCCTGACACATAGAGCAGACCTAGCAAAAAAACCAGTGCCATTTCTGTGAATACTATAATTTTGATCTAACCCACTAAATGCCAGCTGAGAAATGTGGGAATTACCGACCCCGACACGGTGCTGTCTCACGAGAGGCTCCCTACATCCAGCGGTGAAAGGGACGTTCAATTTTTGAGGTAACACCGCTCTTTAACATACTCTGTTTAAAAAGAGTTTTGCGCATAGTCCCAATATTTGTCTGGAATACGTTTGTGTTGATGACAGTTGACCCCGTTAAATGGTTGCTTACCTAATCCTAATCTGACAGGTTGGTGCCTATAATTTTTATCCTTCCGTGTTAATTGCGTGCTTACCGAAATCAAAATATTTTTCGCTTCAGATTTGCCTTAAATTTTATTTCGGATGACCAATTTTGGGCAGAATTATTGATGTCAGTGGAATTGTGTTGTTTATGTTTACAGTGCGGTGAGAAGCACTTCAAAACGCGGGGTGCTTGCTTTCTTCGCTCGTTGTGTGGCCCCGAGGTAGTGACTAAGAGACGGTTTTTTCACAATAGTTGAGGAATATCCTGTTGCGATTATACTTAAGTTTTGCATACATGTACTCGACTGCTGTTCTTAAATCCATTCTCTTTGTCAGCCTTCTTCACAACACCACTTTGGAAAGTTTCATTTAACCCTACTTGAGTTTTGTTTTTCTTTCTTTTGGATAAATACCGTTTTACGGCCGTTGAATTCGCTTTGTAAACTAATAAGCTTTAACACATCAAACGTTTTGGTTGTGTTAGTAGTGTGGGTTTCGATAGACGATAGACTCCCACAGTAACGAAGTCACCTGCTGTTAATTTTCTTCTGAGATAATTGCTTATTCTTGGGAGCGATTGTCAATGAATCTCGATCATTAACATGGGCCTGTCGAAGTGAGTTAGTCTTGCGATTATTTCCCATCTCGCTTCGTTACTGATTGTTATTCCAATGGATTTGCGGGTATTTGAACTAGGTGCTTTGCAGTTATCAGTTTACTCTACATCATAGCTCTTGCTTATAGCATTGCCTATTTAGGCCTGGTTGTGTTCTTACAGTTAGTTTAACTATGTGTTCTGGACTTCTTTCTTATAGAATCGGATCACCCGATTTGCGCCCTTCACAAAACCAGGAGTACATGAATGCTCCTTAAAATCGTGTTATTAAGAGGTTTTTTTATTGGTTTTGTTGCCTTTGTTTGATGCTTAACAACATCGATGTGCTTGCATGAGTTTGTAGATGTTTCTCGCCAACCTCACCGGCCAACCCTTCCCCTACTCAGATGACACATATTAAGCCGAACTATGGACTACTGCCCTTATGTTGTTCTCAGCAGAACAACATTGATCAGTCTACCAAGGGACTGCCACGTGAATGTTATGGTCCCTTTACAGCAATTGAGTTGGATTCATCCCTCACCGTACCCGTCCCGGAACATGTGAAGACTTCTCAAATGATAAACCCATCTGCATCGAATTGGAAAGGTCGGTGTTCCATGGACCCCTGGGAGAGTATTAAGCCTATATGGACACCTGACGGTGGTGAGCGTTTAGTCACGAATGTTGCCAACCAGCGACATACGGTGCTATTTTCTCCACTTCAATCGAAGTTCTGAACTTTCTGACGTTATTAATAACGTTCTGCTTTTAAAGGAGGACTTATGCAGCTTTCTGTTTTGAAGGCGACTGTACTAGAAATCCTTTCTTGTTAGAATTGCTATTTAAAAGTGTCTAAAAATTTTTCAGCATGGTGCATTGCAGGAATTGTCAGTGAAAAAATGTCATAGTCTCATGCGCCAATTTGAACTGTATGATTGCATTTGTTAACTTTGGTGGTTCATTTATCAATCCTACGGTCATGGTTATGTGCTGCACATCGACTCAAATTTGTTTTACTTGACGATTCTGAGAGGACAGTTTTGGTGGAAGGCGTCCCAAATTGGCCCAGAAGATGGATGCATGACCGGCTCAATGGATGCACCGACGATGTACATCGCTGCAAGTGTGAGGGCTTTAGAGTGACATAAAAGGAATTTGACTCGAGGGCTTTGGTAACAAGTCAACCACAGGATTGCGGTCAAAAAGTGGCGAAGGCAGAGCGGTCGATGTCTGCGCTTATAATATCGCAGGACTTGTGTAGCAACATCTGTCTCAGTGAAGTCTGTCGGAGAATTGTGATTGTAGGTGAGAACATTGTAAGAGCAAAAATCTGTCAGCTGTCTTAATGAAAATCGGGAAATTGTTTATTAGTAGTGATCCAAGGTACTGATCTTATTTTAATTGGCATGGAAGGGTCTTAAAGCGATGAAATGAGGCAGTGAATATTCAAACGCTGACTCATTTTTAGAAGTCTAGATCGGGTGAGTGTCGCCGAATTACATAGCAAGTATCTAGAATCATGAAGATGAGAAGCTGTCCAACGGGAGGCGACTGCATAAGCACAGGTAGCATAATTTCAGTGTATACGAGGATCACTTTCGACGAAATTGATTGTGGAGGAGAGTCTCAGTATTCAGAAGAAGAGTGTGGTTGAAAATTGATACGACGCCTCGAGTTTGCACAGTCAAATATATGGTAAAAAATTATCAGCACAATGCAATTAGCCTGGCGCAACGGAGAATATATATTTTCCTCACTTGGTGCTTTTTTGTCAGGTTGCCTTGATGAAGTACTTTAACGATTAATTGTGCAGATAGACACTAATGTTCGATTGCTAGTCGATTGATAGCAGAGGTCAGTCGGTTACCATGATTAGGCGTAACCTAAGTCGATGAGACACACGTGGACACGAAATCAGGTAGTCTCCGCTCCCTATTCTCCAGGCGTCACCGCGTGTACCGAGACTTCGATCCAGTAAGTGAGGGCGCGAAACAAAACAATTACAAGTGGACTCTAATAGAAGGCTGTAGCGTGTCGGTTACTGCAAATACGCGTACCTGAAATTGCACACACCGACTCAGTCTTCGGCGGTCTTTGTTCCGTGTAAGTCAGTAAAGACATCTGTTCTAAAGTCCTGGTTTATCACCTCCCAGAGACTGTATCACGTGATTTGACTGTCTAATCCTCTTTGGCCTGTTTTTCGTTTACCTGTTACTCAACTGTGGGCATTTTATCAATCTATCCCATATTTTGCTTAAAGTTAAAATCTTTCTTTTGATGCTCTCTCCCCATAATCATGAACTTGAAAATATGGTTTAAAGGGTGCATTGTGACATGACCGCTATAAGTATGGTGATGAATTTGATCCATTTTGCTGTCAACGAATTTTGTTAGTTCTCGCATTTTTACTTATGACATTTTAGTACAATTTAATATTTGAGCGCACTGATGGACGATGTGGATTCAATTTTGACATTCTGGGATAGTACATGCCCTATTTTCCCGTAGATATGTTGGGGTTCGTAAAAGATTAGTCATTTCTAGTGTGGAATCCGCTTCATTCCCCACTTATTTTGATCTCTTAAACAGGTCATCTACTGCGGACAAATTGGTTCATTATGCGGAACATACGAGAGACAGAGACATCAGGAACGCAGCACATCTGCGAGCCATGGGTCTGACTTAAAGTAATTTGCTTCTGCGAAAGCACTTCTGTGAATGGGGATACTTCTGACTTGGAATTACTTGTGTAATAATGGGTTGCAGGCATGATTTAATGTCCATTGCTAGCTCGGATAAATAATCACTTGTTTTCTTCTACTCCACTGTTAGTGCAGTCAATAACAACCAACCATCTTTGCCTTTTTACAACAAGCTCCTATATGCCATCATTCTTTCGTGCATTTCTTCATCCAATCATGTGAAGTGTGTAAGTCATACAACAATCTTGCTTTCTGTTATTCAATCCTCCATGCTAATATAATCCATACTGTTCAAACACAGCGCAAAAAAATCAGGTGATATAAAGTTGTCAAGCTACAGTAATTACATAAAAAGCAAATAAAAGGTCAAGAGGGCGTTTATTAATTAATGTAACGGACGAATAAAGGACACATGGATGATTTACAAAAATATGTAAAATTATACACGAAATACCGATATGACAAACTGAATTACTGCAGAAAACCAAGTACTTAAAAAAGAGTAATTAAAACTATCTATAGTCATAACATTCACATCCATGCCATCATTTCGTTACGCGTTTTGTTATCCAATTTCCCTTTCCCTGATCCCAACTCTCGTGTACGTAATGTCGTTCCACGAGCCCTTTCCACCATTCTCTTTCCATTCTATGCTTCCTTTCAAAATGTCGGCATGCATTTCTGTGGTCAAAATTCATCCTATCATGTGAAGCAATTTTGAGCAATCTGCTGATCTTCTAAAATAAAGAAACTAAAAAATCTTGACAACTACCCTATGCTATGGCGTGGAGTCAAGTTAGAAAGTGACGAAAGACTACCAGTTGTCAAAGAAGGACGCAATGCCACAATAAACCAGTACGATCCGATTAACCTTAACACTTTGCCCGACGAATATTCCCATTCTTCAAATTTGGGGGATCTCACTCACTCATTTGGCGAAAGCATTGTCCGGACATTTGCAGGGTATTTAAAGGATTTTTGAAATTTTTCAAACGCTCGTGCAAATAACTATAGAGGTGTTGGCATCGAATCCAATCAGAAGAGTGTATTAATAATAGTATGTATCTTCTACTACTTTCTAGCAAATCTCACTTTTGGTGCTAAAAGTACAACCTTTACCACTGCATATTGATTTAAAGAAACCTCATTCCGCTAAATATATGCCCACAATTTGAAGTGATTGTCAATTCCACTATAAAGTTGCGCATTCCGCTGATGTCTGGCGTAGCGAGTCGCACGATCTTGAATTGCATCCACTCGGCCCACCAGATATCCTACTTATTATTTTTCCTTCTTGAGGAGACGCTGCCTCAACGCTCAAGACTTTTGCAAAAATCCAATTTCGGCGGCTGATCATACTGGTCCCACCTAAATCTCCTCTTGAAATATGCCTTACTGACCCAAACTCCCAATTCACTATTGTAATATTTGACATGAATGAGACATCCTAAAGACAAACGTCACATAAAATTAAACGAAAGATTCAAAAGTGGAACGCGTAGCCGGAATGCTGTCTCGCCAACACCGATGCACAAGTAAAGCGCCCCACAGGTGCATTTAACAAGTTTTTACCTTTGAATGCAGACAATTGGTGTGCAAACGCCGATATAACCCCATGATGTGACAATGAGACTACTCCTACCCTACAGACATCCCCTCGATGTTTTGCGCACAATCCACATACACTTGCATTCGTGTACTTCGCCGAAGAATAACGCTCTTATTTTACCACTATTTAGACACACGAACCCTCAAAATGGGTGTTATTCCGCATCAAATCAGGTAACATGCCAAAAACGACACAAATTTCATGGAAGGCACAACCTTAAAGGCATAAGGTTAGCATTTGCGCTGGTTATGCAATTTCAGTCTTCGAATAAAGCGGGTGCTAGATACGCATCTGAAAGGGAGGCACTCACGCTAACGAATGACCCAAACTTGTACAAAGACTGTTTATTTAATTGAGTGTACAGCATGGTTAATGCAATTGGAGTGGTCGACGTTTTCCATCCACCAAGACTAACGTGGAGTAATACTCCTTCATCAGTGACTGCAATTTCGCATGCATCTGAAGTGGAGAGGGGTAAAAGGATTGACGAAAATCCGAAGAACAACAATGATTCGATTTGCAATCAGAAAAAAATGAGGCAGTCAAGGAGTATTGTCACAGGCAGTGAAGGTGGAGCAGTCCCGTGCATTTAAGAAGACCAATTAGTAAAGACCCACCCAAAGTGCATTGCTTCATTATTGGCCCGTTAATTCATAAATACTTGATAAACATTTAAGGAAAGTAGCCTAATTTTGCACAATTTAACATCATTATGTGCTTCGGATGGGAAGCTAGGCGACCAATAACAATAACACGAGATTTCAAATCTGCCAAAACTTACAAACCAAACTAGCTCAGTGTCATCGGTATCATGGTACTAGAATCGATCGGATCAAGTGTGTGACACTTACTGAATAGTATGCTTGAGACTTGTGAGAAACGGAGGCAAGGGCCTCCAAGAGGCGAACAAGAAGGCTGTGAGGAAGATATATTGAAGAGGAAGCAACACGCTCCGGAGCAGAGCACAAATTCAGCTGAAGCTGCTGCAGATCAACCTGATCAACAAAAGGGCACAAGGGTTATTCATCGTCCTGCGAGAGAGCAGGCATGTACGTAAAAAGTACCTCTTTCAACAGAGCCGGACATTGGCCGGTTTCAGGACCGATAGCGGTCAAAAGAAGGGCATTCGCAAGACGAGAGGCTTCTCGCAGCTGGTTATGGTCGAAAAGAAGGCGCAATAGAGGAAAAATAGGGCCAGAAGGACCGCTAGAGAGAAACTGCATGAGCCAGCAGGGCAGCTGAATGGATGAAAGTTGGGATAATGATCCTGTAAGTATCGTGCGACAGGCTAGCAGACCGAGGTCCCACTTAGCTCGAGGCTTGTCACCGACCACTAAAACACCACGAGAGTCCAGGCTGGTCAGTAGGACCTTCAGCAAGGACCAGTAGAGATCGAGGAGATCGCTAGAAGAGCAAACGCCTGTGAGGCGGTGTTGAAGCGTGCATGAATACCCTGAATCGTTTTAGGTACGAACCTCTTGCGATTCTCCTCCATCATCACGTCACCTGCAACACCAAGGTAGTCGGATAAAGTGGCCAAGGATTTGGTCACGAGAACTCGCTCAACATTCAATGGCGCAGTGGTATTCGTGAGCGCGGGCAGACAGGGAGCAAATCCGTCTTTGGTGGTCTGTTTGTGCTCTGCCAGTGCTACACAACGAGATGCAATAGCAGTGACCAAAGGTGAGGGATTGAGATTGAACGCAACAAGCATCTGGAGGGCCTCCTATAAGGAGAATACACGGTATTGCCAAAAACTGTTCATAAGATTGATGGGAGGTGGAGTGGAGACAACCTCGTATAGTGCAGTAGCGATGAGAGAAGAGTAGAGATCGTGGATTGAAGTGTTCCCCACCCGCAGCATACCCTGTTCCCAAGAGACCTGAGCTAGTTGAAGACGGGCCCGCACCACTAAGTACTGATGCTCCAGATCCGTGAGTTGAAGAATACGATGATCCCCAGCTTGATGACGTATGACATTGTTTGAATTCGAAATGCTCTCAACCATGAGCATTTCCTCATTCCTCCTTTCGCCTGGACGGTTCTCGCTAGCGTCCTCTTCCTCTTCCACGTCGAAGGCCCAAGAAACGTCCGACGTAAGGGCAGAGGACTAAACAAAAATCAGGTTAATTGAGAATTTATCACGAAAGCGAACGCATTCAGTGGCTGACAGAGACCCTCATATCATCAAGAAAGGCGGCTTTTGAATCACGTCTGATGATCCACTGATCCTGAACCGGCAGCAATTCAAGGGTATTGATGCAAGTTGAGAGACAGAGGGCTTGTTGTTGCAGCACCGCCAAAACCCACGACCCAGCGCCCCAGGGGCCATCGGATTTAGCGAGTCGAAACGGAGTCGAAGGAAGCAGTGCAGACTCCTCCGCAAGCCGAACAGCCTGCTCAAAACACACTTCCACAGCAGAATGGAATTTCGAGTGGCGCACATAGTAGGCATAGAGAACGGCATAAAAAATATTCTCCTCCTGCCCCGCTGCGCTTTCCTTTAACGTCTGCCGTCGTGGTACCGACTTCGGTAACACATCAGCAGCCCGAGCTCTCGACTTGAGGGTGGAGACCAACTAAAAGTAAAGTACATCTATCGGCCTAAATATTATCGATATGAAGGTTAAGTTGACATCAAAAGCACGTTTGAAGACACCATGGTAACCGCTTGATCGTCTTCAAAACTGGGTAACGATGGAAAATGCAGGTGTTGCCTTTTTCCCTCTAGTTATATCAATTATGGCGTTGGAGAACCCCTTTTAAGCAAATAGTGCAAGGAAAAGGCCTTGTAGTGGGGAGTAGTTTAGCTGTCCAAAGTTGTTCTACTATTTGCCCATCGGCGATTTCTACAAGTCCGTATCAGCCTTGTCCAAAGCCTTGTTTGTACTTTCGCAACTACAAACCATCTCCAAACAACCGAAAGGCCGAGCAAATTGCCAATTTCGGTAATGCCTTTTTAGTTCAATTGGCAAATAAGCGGGGAAAAAGCACTGTACATCCCTAGTACAACCGTTGAAGAGCACTTAAGTTCAACATCAATAAGTATCACAAACAGTGAAAATGCACAACATATGGGAGGAGCTACCTCACTTTCTAGGGATCCATATTCAAAGTTCACGAGTTCAGTGGTTTGGCCCCGATCACAGAGCGTAGTGATTAACAGGTGGAGACAATCGCGTTGTCTAAAAGTGAGTCATGATTCGATTAATGATTCCGAAGTACCGCACTTTACGCCTTTTTCTAAAACAAGCACACTTATAGGTGTAATAGCACCGAGGAACAAGATGATAATAGAAAATGAAGCATAAAAGACTAATTACAATAACTTGCCTCGCTTTATCGGGATTACTTATAACCAACGCATGGGCCCTTGCAACATTCCCAGTGGCGAGTTCGTGGCGGAAAATGCGGGTACGAAGAACCGCCTCGAGTTCAAAGAGATTTTGTGCGAGGCTGAGAAATTCCGCATCATCAGTACAAACAGCAGATGTGGGGAAGAGACCGATGTGACTCGTCTTAACTCCTGTTGCTGTGAATGCAGGAGTGGTAAAACAGTAGCTCAGCGGCACTCAAACCACGTCACTTCTCAACAAATCCAATCAGCGAGGAATGTGATTACGGTAATATTTTAAACCTATTGCTTCTTACTATTTTAACGAAAAATTTACGTGTAAGTGCTGATAAATGCCAGATACACCTATTTCATCCGTCCACAGCAAAAGACCGCTATGCTGCCGTACACAGGCGATGCAAGTCAAGGATTACCTCCAAAATCCAGGAGACCCGCAGCACAAGCGTCACTAGAGGCTTTCTGGATAAGTTCTAGTGCATACTCGCACAAGCGAATGACGTGTTGGGACTTGTCAAGCTGTTCTAACACTGGCATCGCCTATGAAATACGTCAGAGGATAGTTATTGGCACGAAAAAATTAGCCATATAATTGCATTATTCAAACCGCACATACTTTGATCAAGTACCGAATTTGAACTTCGTCCACAAGGAGCGGAGTGGAAAGTAGACCACGACTATCTTGAATGGTAGTAGGAAAACAGAGTAAAGTACTTAGAGCGAATTCAGCAGGAAAAAGCTTTTCCAAGAGAGAGCACGGCGCTGCAATATTTTCATCAGGGGCCAAATCCGATGAGTATTCAGTAGAAAAGGGATGCAAACGACTGAGCAGACGGCGTCGCAGATACAATGAACCTTGGATATATTGTTCAACCGCCTCGTCTGTGAGCCTGAAAACGTTTACGAGAGGACAGGAATCCAGTTGGCTACTTCAAGCGGTGAAAATCCACAGCTCTAACACAATGACAATAGTGACGAACCCGGACCACAACAACGCAAGAAAAGCACACATATGAAGTGCGTTTACATCTCCCGGCCACCAAAACCCATTTCTCAGGATAGGTTTTGATTTTCCGTCTATCTGGCCATCTCGACAAACACTTGGCAGACCTTTCAGATCGATATTACCGAAAGCATTTGGTGCAAGGCACTTACACAAGGTCAGTAGCTCCTTACACTGTGGTAAAAAAAGACAATACGAAAGTTGCCTCGGGCTACAAAACATCTTAAAAAATAAAAGAGAGCATTACCCGAGCGCCAAGTAAGAGATGTTTGAGAAGAGGAGCAACAGTTTCGCCGTTTTTCAGTACAGGAAAAAGATCCTTTTGAAGAGCCATAATGATTATGGAGGCGTGTGTTCTCCAGGAGGGTTCGTCTATACCCCCCGAGAAGACAGAGAAAATCTCGGGAGCGGAGAGAATGAGCTCCTCGAGAAGACTCAAGCCGGAAAACTGAAAACACATCCTGTTGGAGGTAGACTGGTAAACATTACGAGGGACGGAGTCCATAGATCGATCTTCCATGCCAAGTATCTTGAGATGAGTCCACACCAAAGACCTGAATTCATAAAAGAAGCTCTTTACCAATCATTATACTAACACTCAAGCAGGCTTCGGAGGTAACAAGTGGCTCACAAAAAACTTTGGTCTGACGGAGACGCAGCGCGGGTAATGGTGAGCCACTGGATGACTGCAAGGCATCGATAGGATTGCTGCAAATGATCCTCTATCCGAGAAGATCCGAGTGAGGTAGCAGAGTGGTGGTTGCAGTGGCGCCAAAGAAGGTGCATCGCGACACAGAAACGTAAGCTAGTGTTTGCTGTCTGCCGGACACCTTGACGCAGCAATTCCGCAGACAGACATGATCCGAAACTCAGAAGATGCGAGGGTTGATAAAGGCTTTTATGTGTCGAAACATTACCTACTGAATCTTAATCAAAACACTGGGTTAGTATGGAGCAAATATGACTGGAGCAGCAATTATTTCGTGATGTACCCTTCTCGACTTCCTCCTCTTTCCCCAACTCTGCGGCAGTGAACTCGATTGGATACGGTGTGAAAAGGAACTCCAGAAACCAACTAAAAGCGTCCTCCATTCCTTCCATAACATCGTCCTCTTCCCAATCAAATAACTGATTAGCTGGTAAGTCTGCCCTACAAATCAATGACATTACTACCGATCATTTTCAGTAAAACTGAAGGCGAACGCAGATGAAGATTGATCCAAAAAATACTAATTATAAAGTGTTTAACAAAAAAGCCCATTAAATTTTTTTTTGTATAACATACAAACGGATAAGACGGTTATGAAACTTCTTCCAACAATTGAGATTTAACTGAGCTAATCCACTTAATGTACTGAAACAAATCTGACTGCTTGATTACTGGAGCATCAAATTAAATGATATGGTTTAGTAAAACGAGCGTTTATAAGCCTCGCAGGGAAGTACTCACAGAAGTTGATTGAGAACAGTTTCGGTATGGTGAAAGTTCTCGAGATTCTCGCAAATCTTGCGTTCATGTTCCAACCAAACTTGGCTTTGGGCAAGACCCTTGACAATTCGACGACAGCAAGATACGAGGCGTTCTCGAGCGCGTAGTTTGGTGACTCGCTGATTTAACGCCGATGTCTCGAGATCTAGAATGAGGTGCAAAAGACATTAAAAATAGATGCTCGCGATGTGATGCCATGGAGACAGGAGGAAAGGAGTGTAACCTGCCTGACTCGGTGGGACAGTAATCGAGAAAGGGTGAGTTCAAGAGGCCCTCCTCTGTCGATTGAAGACGTCGTGCCACGGAGAGGCCGGAACGATGCACAACGACGACATCCCCATTCGACTTTACACAGAATAAACCAAGAGGTTCAGAGGCTCGTTGGTGGTAGTCCACGATAATCTGGTGGAAAGTCATCAGGAGGGTCCGGAATTCGGCAACAGAGAGTGACGGTCGGAACTAGCGGTTATACCAATGAAAGGTGGTGATCAAAAGTGAAGTGGAAGGGAATGGAGAGACCTGTTAGACTCTACTCACGACTGAAATGAGTGCGTGACTGATTTCGTCCCTCATAGTTGTCACAACGTCGTCTGGGGGACATTCCTGTGGTAGGTGATGCGACTGCTTCAATGACTAAAAAAATGGTATAAGCAGACCAAGTGCTAATGCGGCATGAATAAGGTGCTGGCTAACCTTGAAGGCATCGTGAATCGCCACTTTAGCGAAACGACCGGGAGTGAAAATGAAATCCATGAAGGCGGTTAGATCAAAGCTTTCCTCGACAATGTCACTGGGCATAGCGAGCTCATCATTGTAACCACGTTGTGGGATGAAAATGGATGGAGGCAATGGTTCTTGCCATAATTGCATGTTGGCGTATCCGATCAACGATGAGGTGGATATAAGAGAGGGTTGGGAACCGTCTGAATCGTATTTATTTAACTGTAACGTGGATTGAATAGAACCCTCTTCATTTGGGACATCTACTATTGACCATACACCTACAATCAGAAGAAAAAGCAATTACCTATTCCATAAGAATATGAACATACTTAAAATGGGTAGTTTAACTCCAATCGAATTGACTCCCATTGAAACGTCTGGAGCGCAAGAAACATCATGGGACAGAAACGGGGCGAAATCGACTAGCGAACAAACTGCGGGAGCAAAAGAAGCTTGCGGGTTTGCCATTTGTTTCATGGGCTCAACGCGAACAACATCAAAAGCGACTTTGTTTTCATAGTTATCCAATCTAACCCATATCCAATAGGTCATCTGAATAGGTGGTAGTGGGAACCTCTTCGTTGGTAGAAGCTCCAGATAGATGAGCGCAAAATTTTTGGATGTTTTGACACAATGATTCGCACCAGGTGCAAACGCCAAAGTGCGTTGTTTCGTAACAGTGAAAGTATCGAAACAACTGGAAAAGGTACTCAAGCATTTCAAAAGATCGATCGTGGAAACGCATTGGCAATGCTGGAAGAAATAATTAAAAAGAAAATTCTAGTACTTCCAAATCCCAGGCGCGTAAATAATGATCCTTGCAAACGCAAATTAGTATGGGATTCGCAGTCATATCACTGAGAAAGGCTATAGATACCGGACTCTCTAGGTTTCCAGAATCTTGTTTGCTAAAAGCGATTAAAACAAATAGATAGAAAACCCACTTTAAAAACGAAGGGATAATTCCTGGCCAAAGATTGGAGAAACGCGAGACCATTGGTAGTACTTGCATTTCTGAATCAAGAAAATGGATGGCAATTAGGATAAACCTTGGTTATGATGGGATAGTGACACGAAGATGGCGAAGCCCCCTTTGAGCCCATAGGCAAAGAGAGAACAGTCCTCCTTATAGCGAGCAGTAGTGGAACATATTATTTCCTGAGATGCAAGACCCTTTACCGGATAAAATTGTGAGTCGGATGTGTATTTGCTGGTGAAAATCGACTCGTATTTATGGACCTAGTATTTAGTTCCTAAATAAATCCTACTTGTTTGTAGCACTCGAAGTGTTTGTGGTAAACGCCATCAGTCGTGGTAACCAATATGAAGAGTCCAGACCGTTCATAATATATCCCGCAGTGAAGAACTTTTGCATTAGAGAAACGAAATTCAATTGAGCCATTTGAGATGTCGTTCGCAAAAGAAAGTTCACGGATATGCAGCTTATCATACTCTGAATGCCAGAGAAAGAGACGGTCGCCAAAATCCAGAACATTAAATGCCACACCACCTGCACGGTTAAGGATTTCGCCGGACAAAGCAAATGACGTTCCGGAAGGAGCTAAATGTAAAAAGCTGCTTGCAACATATACCTTTTTCTACGTTGTATACCGTGTCTGGCTTAAAACCTAGACTATCAAATGCAATTAAGTCACAGAGCATTTTCCACACCAGAAGGCGAAACCAGGCTCGAAGCAAACCACGAGGATTCCCCCATCTGATTGGATGACAGTCGCATCATCATCAATCACTAATGGCGAGTAGCCGCAAGTAATTTTACTCCTCTTTAGTTCCCTTTTAGGAGAACTACAAAAAGAATATTTGTTACTCAACACAAGTTATTGCGATAAATGTGCACGACCTAGTTTTTCGAAATAGACTCGCAAAAATTGCTTAAATCTAGGACAGTTATGCATTATATGTTTGAAGCTTCCTATTAAACCACCATCTCAGAACCAAACGTTTCAAATACAAGCAATACCCTCATGTGGAGCCCTTTAAGTCTCTTCTGAAGGCTTAAGGATTCACAGCAGTATGGCTGAGAACACAATACTGGCACACAGAGGAGCTGAGTCTACTGGAATGGCTGGGGATCATGCAGCGGAGCAGAAGTACAATATGGGGAGATTTATGTTCCCGCTTAATTGAGCGCGGAGTTGGGAATCCTATAAGAGTAATACACCTTGAATACTACAGTCATAGCGTTTAAAAAAGCGTTTATGAAAAAGATATAGTACTCGAGCATAATATGTATTATCGACCTACAGAATGGCTAGGTTACCTGGAGGCTAGATCGGCCGGAGGATGTGCAATGGTTGACCCCCTACGTTATCCGTCATCAAACTTGAGTGTTAAACAAACAATTCAAGTATTACATCACCCAGTTTAGAAACAATTTGGTGAAAATCACACATTATTCCTTGCAGTTTCGCTAGAACTACAAAGGTACAATTTCAAAATGTCAGAATAAAGTACTTCCTCCTTTTCCACATACCGGTGTCGCCTTTTTTTCCTTTCTTGGCATATCAGGTTACAAAAACCAACAAAATCCAAAATGATTTGTAAAATCAGCAAGATGTATTTCCAATGAGTTTATAAAGGCAAAATGCCTAATCCTATTACCAATAGTATGTTACCTGTGTATGATTTCACCAAAATTGGCAGTAAATATGAAATCTCACATTCGGAAACTAGCATAAAACCCAACTTAACACTTCTGCACAGTTCCGTGTTTACAGACTGCTTCGTGGAACGCCTTTTGGCTTACCATTCTATTTACATAATTATGCAATGGCCTTCCCTTATCCCATCTCCATCAACACCACCATTCTTCCCTAGGACCCCCCTCATCAAACATCTACGTCCAACATAATTAACATAAGACTGATCTTTATTTTTGTCTTATCAGCCCCAACAACTTTTGTCATTACCCTTCACTACTACTATGGCCCAATGCTTATAACCATTACTTAGATCCAAGCATTTATTAGTGTACCCAACAACCCAACTTAATCGTCGCTCCAACAACACCACTCTACAAGGAAAAGTAGGCAAAAATCACCTCCTTTCCTCCTCCCTATTTTCTGCCCCTATCACGTGTCAGCCTTTTGGCATGGCATAACGTCATCGCGTTTCCCAGACTAAGCAAGGTCACAGCCGCCTCTCATCACCACAAATCATTCCTGTGAGAAACTAGTAAAATCAATCCATTCAAGTCAAAGGGATTTATTTATTCATTGGTTATTTAAATGAAAGATACGATGAAAAAATGGGAAAGATCAGCTCGCATTAGGCGAGAGTTCAACAGGGCTTGGGGACTTTAACTAGGCATCCCTTGTTGTCCAAAACAGTGTCCCTGCTACGCATGTGTGTATTTGCTTCCCTCTCCCATCGGAGAGGAGTTGATGGATGAATAAAAGAAAGGAAGACATTGATTGAATCTTGTCAGTCTTTCTGCACAGTCGCAGGGTATTTACATTTTGAAGCTCATTTTATTTGTAACTTGATGAGAGATGCATCAAATCCAGTCGTGTTGGACAATTTCATCACCCGAACCAAGATAGCCACTGGAGGTGGTGGACTTTTGGGAATCACTGCGCCCTACAGAGACACCATTAGGTGATGGAGGTTGGGGAGGGTCGAGTTTGTCAAGGTCACTAAACGGGATGCCAGGTCCACCGGTCTCGGTAGGGGTTAGAGCTAGGTGTGGCTTTGATCCGGTAACGGTTAATTCATCGTCCTCCTCGCTGCTGGGTTGATCCGGAATCTCCACAAAGCTGATACCACTGTCCGTTGTACAGGAAAACCCTGGGTCTCGATGGCAATCATCCATCACATGTGTGATGGCCGAGACAATGGCTGAGGCTGCCAGGCCACTGGCAATCGTCGCCAAATCCATCTCGTAGGCTCCTACATTTTAATTGATCGCAGAAAACTTATGTACATATGAGTGCAGTTGGGTCATCAATTTTACCCACTTTTTTACTAAAAACCCGCTGCCACCTCACTTAAGTACACCATGTTTAGTAGCCATTCACTTCCACTTCATATATAACCACACGGGTGACTCAAGGATCTGCACATGCCACTTATATTTCTGGGCTTCCAGTCCTTCCGTATGTTTAAATAGGGTTACTTCCATACTGTCATGTCTCAAGCCTTGGCCTTAAATCAGGAAATGTCCGATAACTTTGCCCCTCAAGAATTACAATCCCTTCCTTAACAGATCAATTTGGTGTTGAGCAAGTAGATTCGCGGAGAACCAATAAAAGAGCTCATTCGCATCCATTGTAACCGTAATAATCCGCATTGAATCAGAACAAAGACAGTGAGTGGTAGGTATTTTTTAAGACCCAGCTGCTAAAAAAAACTGCCAAATGGGAAAGACGACCATTATGAAATGTTAAAATGATTGTGAAAAGTAAAGGAACGGGATCAGAACGCGAGTCCGAGAAACGTTTCCAACTAAATGGATCACCTTTCATACAAAAATCCATTAGCATGAGAAAGGTTTGTGCAGTGGAATGTGGTCGGACTTTGATTCTTACTAAAAAAGTTTTGCTGATAGTTTGTCAAAAGAGGAGATAAAATATCAGTTTTAACCGAAATCTGCAAGGCCCATCACCATTTTTGGATTTGAAGACTCATTTTATGAAAGAGGATAATTACATATTACCCATTCTTGTCTAGACAATGAATTATTTCAACGGAATAATATTTAAATGGTTGATGCGGAGGAGCAGTTACTGGCAGCGATAGTAACAAAAGCAAGATAGGAACATCTATACGTCAATGCGTGAACTATTCCAGTCTTCCATACCTCAACCTTTACAGTCGTCAGTGACAGCCGGAGCGCCTCCGTTTATGGAAAAAGGATTATGTTGACTTTGTTTAAAAAATAAAAGCTAAAACTTTGGAGCTCCTCAACCTTGTCTTAATTGTCGTGCCATGCATCTTACGTCTGAAACACATCTATATTGGTTGAAGTCTTTTAAAAAATAAAGATGGAAACCTGTTTAGGACAGTGTAACAGATAACAAAACTTTGTGACTAAAATGTCTATTTTTAATGAGTATGCAGGGAATGGAACGTTACGATTTTCTTACCGGCTGAATCAATTACATCATCAACCAGTTGTAGCGCAGCCATCCTCAGTTCATCTTCGTAAGAGCCTAGAAGCGATAGAGGAAAGCATACCTTATGGCATGACCAGTTCGGCATTCAAATGGAATGTTTCCGGTTTTGGTGGATAAAAGCCAGGCATTTAAAATTTTAAGCGTGAAATCTAAAGATGTAACAACCTCTTGATTACCTTGATTGAATTGTTTGGAGCTTATGTACAAATGAGTCCGGGTTTTGAACAGGGTATTTAATTCCCAATAAAAATTCAATGATCGCTATTTGAGTTTGCTACGGTGACGAATGGTTTTGCTTCATGCAAAAATAAACAGCCAGGATAAGTTAATCGTTGATAAATGAAGCTTCACGGTAATTTTTAATTTGAGGCATAAGGTAGTTTAAATGGGGAAAAATAATAGGTACGAACCATCATTATCCCTATCCTCCCCTTCTTCTTTTGAAAAAGATGGGCTTGGAATCATAGAGTCTTCATCTAACCTCGAGACGGATTCCGTTAACGGTTTTTCAGCATATTCCACCCTTTCTAGCAGCTCTTGCTCGTCTACACCACCTGATTGCCTTTCCTCCACCTCCACCTCCACCTCATAGTCACTGAGCTGAACCTCCTCCAAACCCTTTTCTTGAACGTGGTCAGTGGTCAGTGATTCGGCGGTTTCTGTAGACGACGAGGATGAAGAGGAGGACGAAAGCGAGGAAATGGCATCTAAGAAAGCCTCAGCCTGGTCGTCATCTGACTTGGAATCCTCTCCGCCTTCTCTTCCCTGCGTTCCTAGGCTCTACGTCAGACAGCAAGAACAAGAAATAACGACCACTTTTTAAGAAGATAACAGTCTAATCACTATCACCTTCTGGACAAACAACGTCTTTCTTCAATTTCAATATATCATCTCATACAAATTGTACTGGATGGTTGCCTAATAAAACATTCTCCCAAATGAAAAGCTGAATTACGATATTGCTAAGGAAAATCGCCCCTTGAAACGCAAACAAGGAAAAAAGGATCCTTGGGTGGTCAGCTAAGCCTGTCAAATTAAAGAGAAATGATTGGGTATTAGTGCAGTTAAACAGACGCAGCAGCATTTTCAAGGTATTGGGCATGCTCAAGTTCATTGTAAAAAGAATCCCTCATCACCATGCTTCTAGTTTTTACAGAAATGAACCGCTGACTTAGAAAAAAAGTTCCTTCTGCTACAAGACACTTAAAAGTTATAACTGATGACCTTCATTAAATCTTATAAACATTGTATAACTGGTCTAGGTAAATCTCTAAACAAACTATGTGGTAAAAAAACGCAATCGCGTTTAGTTGAGGTCCATGAAGATAAGGCAGTCTGGCGAAACGGTTAAGGTGCGTGAGAGTAAACAGAGGTGTCAGCGCCACCACTCAGTGGAAAAAACCTCAAACCTAACCAAACCAAAATTAAAAAGCCAAATTGAAAGCACTGAAAGCGCGCACGGGTTGGAATGGAGGTTTCAAAGGGTATAAGTGGTTTCCGTTCGGGGAGACAGAGAGAGCTACGACTACTACTTACACTGAGGGCACGTGAGGCAATCAGTGACGTGCTTTCGACCAGTTTCTGCAGGCCATGAATTATGCCTATTAATTGCATTCTTCCACCCGCCTTCGTGTCACCCTCTTCACATTCTAGTCCATCGGTTTTTCTTGCTTCAAATGCCACGACTTCCTTACTTCCACTCAAAGACGTCTTTGACGGTGCCTGCTCTAAACAGTCTCGGTAGATTGATCCACTAGGAGTTCCGGGACGTCTTCTGCGATCCTTTAGACCACTTGAGACATCAATGATTGCAGACTTTGACCGCTGATGCCGCCTTTCACTTACTGTTGTTAGCGCTGCATTTGATGCATTCCCTGTAGCAGTTGCACTCGCTCTTCTCGCCCTGATCCACTTTGGGCTTCTTGAGAGGTGATGGAGATGCTTAGTAACAAACTTCAGCCAATTCTTAGCCAAAAGAAGCTCCAAGATTATCAGTTCCCTGTTGGACTGGAATACAGTGTCACCAGGTTTTAGAGACAGGTTCTAGAAATGGGGGAAAATAACCACTTTTTGTCTCGATTCTCTAGTGGATGATGAGAAGAATAAGTAGCTTAATAAAGTTCATCCGCGGTCATAATTACAAAAAGGGTGATTCATCGACAGGTTCTGGGTTCGGAACAACACAAATGAGAGCAGAATGGCGATAGTCTCGTTTTTATTAAAAATATACTATAATATTTGACCTGAAGTCTCGATAACGAACAGGAGCAGCAAACCACGGCTCAGGAATTTCAATTTGCCGAAAAAGCAATACCAAGTCTTAGGGTAGGCATCACCTGATTCATCTCGCTTTAACGACTCAACCAATGACCTTTTGACAATGAGTACAAATAAAGTAGATCTCCCTCTTTTTAAATGAAGTAAACGTGGATTTCGCCGTCTTGAGTGATTATGGAAAAAGGTGTTGATATGAGAATACCTATTAAACTGGGGGTGTCAAATTCGACTGCAAACTACTGGTTGCCGATGAGCTAAAGTACGAAAAAACTCATTTAATTTCGGTATGCTCTCACATTCTTGAATGAGCCGAAATGGCCCAGTACAACTGATAGTTGGGGGAGATGACAATTGATGACAGCTACGTGCCACTGGCATAACCTTCTTCCAATTTACTGTCTGAAAAGTGCAGAGTACACCTTTGGACGAGGAGAAAATGCTAGTCTTTAATAGGTGGAATTATGAGTGACAAAAACAGTCTTTGTCTGCTGAGTCAGTAATAGGAACATTGGTATTCCATTTACAGTCTCCAATCAAAAGTTAATTCCAAGGCGGATGACATTTTGGCTGAGATGATAGTGGTGGTAGTCACTTCTTGCAGAGTCGGCTTCATGTGACTAGTGAACACCTGCCTAAATTATGTTTACCTGTAGTTAAATTTACGCTGTCCCAAATCTGAAAGAATACTTTAACACCATGCAGTCTGAAGGCAAAGGAAGTTTTATCACAATGCAATTTCTACCATGCGATAACTCTAGAATATCAAGTCTAAGAGTTTTTCAGTAAAGAAGCATTCCGTAGTGCCACTTAATAGTTCATTCAGTCCCTTTGGCTTTGCCACAAAGGACCTATTAGGTTACCCCAGAAATGTGTCGCCTTAATGGGAAAATTGGGGAGAGAGGAAGCACCAATTGCACAATGCACATTGGAGACGGAGGACAAGTAAAACTTACCTCAAGAATTTCGTTCGCATCAACAGATTGACTGTCTGACATGGATTGAATCAAGGCCTGCATATCCTGCTCCACTTCACTTATTTTTTCTAAAATCGGACACAAAGTCATCATTCTTGTATTACCAAACGTTATTCTAACAGGCACATTAATTTGTTTGAAAAAATGCGTACAGCCTTGAAACAATAACAAATAAAAAAACCAGAAAACAACAGCTACCGCTAAAGTGTATTGATAAGTAGATTTCTGTCGACCAGTAGAAGTCTATCAAAAAGTTTACTGTCGATATTTCTTAAACATTCGTTTTAATTCTTAGTCTTTCGATTTAATGTGGGCTTCCCGGCAATTTGGTGAAATGGTAACAGTGAAGCATTGGTCAGTGGAGATGGGATGACAAAACCCTCGAGACAGCGCTCGAATGAGCAACTATAGCACACACAACTCTTCAAACAATAAAAAACGACTTTGACACTCTAATTGCGCCTTAGAAGCTGTGAAACGTTTTAACAAACTATCAAGATACATCAACTCTACCGATTTAAATAAGCAAATTGTTGCCTAATCCGATTACTTACACCGATTCTTTTCTGGAATAGGATACCGATACAAGCTTTTAAATTAAAATTCAGTACGATAATAGGGAGCCCGCAAAAAATAAAAAGCAGTCATTGGGAAATGCGCACCAGTGAAGCTTGTGACCTGTTTCTCGATTAGTTCAGGAGATGGTGCATTGAGAGGGACTTCTGACTCTACCATTTGCGCTGGGTCACTAAAGTTTGTACTTGGCTGTACAGTCCCTACAGAGGCACGGATGGTCTTCAGACACTTAGTATCAACTTTGTGATCACCGAAGTGCATGCTTGCTGATGGCAGACTGGCACGACCTTTTTGCGCTGCCAAACGTCGCTGAGCTGAAATCTGTTCCCGCCTTTTCAGAATATTCAACCATCTTCAAGAACAGAGGTTAAAAATTTAGCCTGAACGCTTTATTGAAAATTAGATACCTTAAATGCAAGGTATATATAACAATTTCTTGCTTACTTCATCCACAACATTAGCTTTATCATCATAAAATTTGTGAGTTCTTACAAGAAATGGTGAGTGTTCATTAGATTATTTGTAATATTTCTGAAATATATGGTGCAACTATAAATGTAGGCTGCTTTACCGCGCAACTAAGGCAGTTGCGTAGTTCCGTAGAAATAAGAGACAGGAAAAAGTTTCAGGTTTATTAGCGGCACGAAAAAACATACTTCTTCCGAGTTTCCTCTGAGGTAAATGACAATCGAAGGAGGATTGCTTGCTCCTTAAAGATCATGTTAAGCATATATTCCTGACCTAAAAGTAGAACATAATATGCGATTGCTAGGGGTCGATTTTACAAAACATGCAAGAACTCATTCATGAATCTATGACCGGGTTTTCATTTATTTACATTTTTGTACGAGTTCCCATCCAACTTCATCCCCAAATATCCACCGCATACACAGAACAGTAATTATTACACTTTGCTTGGATGCAAGAAGCATTGGGTGACATACCTATTTGTTCACCCAGAGAGGTAAACACAGAATCTGTTGGAAAGACAGGCAATAGCTTCATGGTATTACCCAGGAGATTGGGAGCCGTTACGAATTGTGTAGAACTCGAAGAAGCAGCGTTAGAAGTGGAGGCAGTTAAGTTTTCCTGGCCCGGCTCCTTGGAAGGCTTGAATGGTCGTAGACCATAGCGCCCGCCATCTTTTACAAGAAGCACGAGTGCCGAGTCCAAAAGGACTGCTAGGACTTCAGTTCTCTCCTTCATGTAGTCATAGTTGACTTTGTTATCACTGGTTAGAGTCAACTTATCTACGGCGATCTCGGCATGATCTATTACCCAAAATCGGAACAGTGTCCGAGGAAATTGTAGCAGGAGGTCCTACCATTAAAAAATTCCAAAAAACACTCTGCTTACTTTCGTCTCAAATTTCATCTGGTTATTTGTTAATACTCAAGATTTGGCGATTTATAAGGTGTTAGGCTTAATTTAGTCTTGGAGACTGACATCAAATACAACTGAGGTATACATAATTTTTTCAAAAAGGTGAATTGATCTCCAGACTAAATTACGAAAGCATTTAGGTAAGTGACTTATTCACAAAACCCAAGTGTTTATAATCATTTTTAACATTTCTTAAACCGGACATTATATGCATGTGGAGGATTCACAATGGTTATGTGAAAGACATTGTTAATTAAAAGAAACCCTTAGAAGATTTGGTAAATAATAATTAACTTCTAGCAAAATGTAGTTTCCATTCACCTCTCAATTTGGAAGACCGTGCCCAAACACGACAAATAAAAAATGGACTCTTTTGACCATGAAAAGAAAGTAGCTTGTTTTTTGAAAATCAGATCGAAAGGTATAAGTGTAATAGGGAGGCCAAAAGGTAATAATTTTAGGAAATAATTTATTTGGTTTTATTTCCAAACACTGGTTAATAGAGGGGGCAAAAATTAAACCTAACACTTAGCAAAGCAAGGTGTATTTCCTAATACCGAAAGAGTACTGGCCATTTCTGTTTGTATTTCCCTTTTGAATAGGTTTTAGGTTTCAAGGCGGAATGTACAATTGCTTCGGTTGTTTAGGTACAACGGAAGAAATGACACAAGCGATAATGTGCTGTTTTCACGAATAACCATCTTAGTTTTTACATATTGAGGAAATCTAGATACCGCAGCATTATGATTTAGTGCGTTTGGAGATTACTGGAATTCCTTCTGTGAAATAATATTCTATTACGTAAAACGTAAGACGAAACTCACACACTTCAACCGATGACGCCAATCATGCCAACAACGCAACAACATGAATGCCTCAATCGCTAACGGGCATATAGTCAATTAGGACTTAAAATAGCAGAAATAAGCAAGTATTACGGGAAAATAATTATGGAATACATCCCAATTGTTTACAATTAATTGAGCTGTAACAGATGTTTGTAGATGAAAAAAGACAGCCTGACCTTTCGCAGACGTTTGTGTGTAAATGCAACACACACACACATAGGTTTACAATAATGAACACTACGTGGCATTGCTATGCGCGTAGTTAAACACCCGCCTTCTTTCGGCACAAAATACCAGAAAATGAGAGTTGGTATCGCTAATAACTTACCGCAAAAGGCAAATTTCCACCTTGGGCTTGATGACGTGACAATTGCTCTCCCTTATCCACTGTAGAGAAGAAGTGACCATCGTTAATCAGCTTTACTAAGGGCATGCATATCTTGTCGATTGAGTGCGGAATGCTCGCCAATTTGGAGTGTATCTCTTTCCAGATCTTCGCTTCGGCTAAAGGAACCAGAATCTAGACTTATCTTTCAGCTTCTTTGATTGTCATCTGCATCTTGCTGCTCAGATTTACGGTACTTTAGGATGCAGTCGGGCAAGTTGTAGCTTTAAGTACTGTGGCAAAAAATTTGTAACATTAGGAATAATTCAAAATTTTGGCAACAGAATGACAGGGGAGAGCATTACATCTCCACCACCTACTTTTACAGTCCATGGATGCAGGTGTAAAACAAAACCGAACTTACCTATCAAACTTATAAAATCACCAAAATAAGGCTGTCGTGGAAGTTACCTTTTTAAAAATCCATAGAGAACATACATCAGTTTTACAGTTTAGCGATTTGTAGAGCAGCAAAATGCTGCAAACCGTAAGTAGTACCTTCTGAGTCGGCTAGAATTGGGCCTTAGATGAGGGTGTACTAAAGTTTCCCATTTAAGTGTACTATAATTTACACTGAGATGATGGCATTTTAGATCCTGAACCTTCTACCCTAGTAGTGATGTACGCGTAAATGCAAAAAAAAATCGCTCAACAAATTAGAAACTTTGCCATTAACTGGCAGCGCACTCATGTGGACATACAACTGGAGGCACGGTTGGCCGAAATGCATACGCTGATACGTCAACGTGTCTGCGAGTGTTCGATTGCATATGTACATCAGAGGCACACGAAAGAAACTCAAAAAGTGTGCAAGATTTTTGCCAAACAATAGGTTCGCTAAGTTTATTATTTTTGATTCAATGCCTGTACATTTTTATGTGTTATTAGTAGAAGGTGGACTTTCAGGAATGTCCTAAAAAAAATAAAAATTAAGTATTCTATTTGAGTAGTCAGTGTTCCACCGCCCCTGGGTGACTAGTATTTCCTCAAACTAATATTTATCCTCCTAAGCATAATACGCTGCTTGAATTTGACGCGCAAGTCAAAAATTTTTCATTCGCAAGGAGGCCCTGACGAATAGGAAAGTAAAGAAAAACCTTTATGAAATACAGCTAATTTGACTAACAGTCATCTTAACAATGAGGAAAGAACTCAGCATAACATTGGTAATAAGCAACTATCATCACTAGTATTTGTATGATCTTATTGCTGAAAACACCCATTTCTTCATTCAAAAGGTAATTTTTTTAATTAGTGACTGTTAGGCTATTGTTTTCCCCTAGAAATCACTAGTTATTTTTTTGCTGAGGAGAATAGTTTTGTGGAAGACACATAGCAGAGAAACAAATGGTGTTGAAAAGGATGCCAAAATAAACCCAAACTAGTCCATTTGTGTTTATCATAGATAATCGCGTATTTTTTTTGACTATACATAATTTATAACTGTTTTTACAATGGTATGAGCATCACATTGACCAAGTACCGGAATCCATATCGTCAATATAAGCTAGAAATCCATAAACTTATCCGTTATTTACGAGTTTAAAAGCAGGGGCTCTGAGCCTACCTTTGTAACTCGAGGTCTTCTTCTCCAAATCCTTCATAATATTGATGGATATGAGGGGCAGATTGAAATAGAGGATCCGAACCTGACTCAGACTTTCAATGAGCACGAATTTATTGAATCGAGTTTCCAAAACCATCTGAATGTCTGGATGCTTTCGGGCGTACTCCCGAACCATTGCTTTTACACTGTCCAGCATATTCGTGCAAGAAAGTGCTTGACAATCCCGAATCCATGCCTACAATAACGCGTTCGGTGGTTATGAAATATTTGAGTATTAAATATCTACTTTTCTTTGGGCACTAATTTGGGAAGGCTACGCACATGATGCCTCCGACTATCTTCGATTTTGTTAAGTCATCAGCCTATTTTCAAGTATTATTTGCAAATAATCGAAGACGAAGTGTTTAACTGGCAAGTATCCCGATAACTAATCCATTAAAGAAATGTGGTCTCAAGCTGGAAAATTCGAATATCCAATGTAGTTGCAGAGTATAGTCCGATCCTAAGCAATACTTCAACAATAAACAATGTCAATACAGTGTGCCAGCAAAGGACTAATGGGTAAATTCCGCCGTTCATATAATTGTTTTTGGAATTAAAAATAGTCTTTTTAGTCTATGCGAGAGGGTGCTCAATGGAGACGTCGCAGACTATACCAAAATGGAAGCAGAATGATACCTGTCTAATTAAATTTGTTACATGGTCTCTTTTAGTCTCACAGAATGCGATCTAAATGACAGTATCATCAGCTGACTATCCGCTGCACTTTGATATCTATGTGCGGGACCGCTTGTTTAGTCCGGAGAGTTGCAACATCAGCAGCACACGTACATATCCACTGAACAATGACTTGACGATGCTCGAAGAATAAGAGCAAAGAAAGCCATTCTGATGATAGCTCAAGCAATATACCGTGCAGTACCTTTCCATTTTAGATAACTTTTTTTGTGAGCAATTATGGTCAATTACCTTGAGATTAGTCTCATCGTCTTTGGACAACCAAGACAACACAGCCTCAGCCATTCTGCCATAGCCCTGAGGTTCGACAGTTCGCTCAATGGCATGAACAAGGCTGCGAAAGAGCCGGATGAGACGGGGGATTCTATCCAAAGCCATTAGATCAGCCAAGTGCTGATGTTCCTTGGGCCAACGCCGTAGCAGGAGGTAATCGAAGTGCTTCAAGTAGCATACCATGTAACGCACCTTCTGATGAAACTCTAGCAGCACCAGGGTTCGCACGTAGTCCTGAACGCGCGGGCCCTATTTTAAATGAGAAATGGTATCATTTTATCATATACGCACATCAATAGGCTTATAAGTGACACTTCAGGCGCTCAAAAAGATAAATGCACTCGATTAAAAAACAAAAGCTGTAATGATTACGAAGTAACGCTAGTAGTCAATCAACCTAGAGGATGAAATTCTCAAACAGGTATTAGTCAAGTAAAGATTAGATTAATGATGAACATTTGCCTTATTTTTTAAATGCATTCGATGCCAACAGAGAGTAAGTAATGAGAAGGACCTAGCGCAAGCTTTCAAGGGCATCAGCTTCGTAAGCCAAAAAAATAACATTACAAATTTAGCATACATTATTCAGCAATAATTTTAGGTGAATACTGAGATTTATCGGACTTTATGAAAATTAGGGTAAAATGTCAGTGCTGAGAAACTGCAAATCTACGAACGCCAAACAGTATTCACATAAATTGTCCCTCATTTAAAAAAATGTGTAACTAAGTTTGCATGAATACTAAAACAACTGCATGTTTCATAAGCATACCTTCGTAGGAATCTCGTAATCAGGAAAGTGGATTCGGAGTTCAGTAGCAGCCTCAAAGGTCTCTGAGGCGTTCATTTCAGGATCTCCAGTCCACGTTGGAAGGAGTTCAGGAACATTGGAAGCCGCAGATGTCGATGGTGAAGAAGAGGAGTTTTGGGATCCGATTAGGCGTTTAGGATCACGGTCGGCCATCATTGGCAACTGCATCAGGGAAATGGTGCTAAAATGGGGAAAAGGGTACAGAAAATACGAAGTACACTGGCCCACTTAGTAATCTTGGGTTATGGGGCAAGTCTATATGATAATGATTTTCTAGGAATTTAGTCACCCCTTTCACGTGCATTTATACAAAATAATCGGGTCAATTATGCACGTTCGATCATTGTTGGTGGCTGAACTTTAGGCACCAGAATATCGTAGGGCAGACATTTGACTACCGAAGATACGCTGCATGCAACATTGCATGAAAACTTAGTGCGGTGTATATCAAGCTCAATGGCCGCAAATCAACATCTGATGCAGTGGTATTCACTAACTCCAAGCACGGGTTGATATGGAACGTCAAGTTCACGTACGACGGGTTGTAGAATTTCTTTACATGAGGCTCTTTGATCGATCTCAATAAGAGAAAAAAATTTGAAGAGGACCTTTCGTAGGCAGTGTCGGGTTTCAGGTTGCTAATATAAACAGACCGAAATGGAGCTGAAAATCACATGCGCATGTAAAAAAAGAAGCACCACATGACACTCACTCCGACCCATAGACAAATCAGCTTAACTCCATTTTCGCTCTTTAATAAAAGGAAAAATAAGAGGTATGTAAGAAAACCAAACATTTTCATGTACCTTTCCCATGACAAAATTAAATGATCCTCCGAAAACTCCTGCAAATAATTTATTCATTGGAATAATCATGATTACAATCTGTCATGCCTGGAAAACGCTTTGTCTCTGTAAACAATCCAGCCTTAACTATTAGTTTCTACCTTACTTTCACTTCCTAGCTGTGAATGTGACGTGAATAACCAACGTCAAGACAGGTTGTCAGTCATTTGTAAAACAGCACCCCCCTTTATTCATTTTGAATTCTGATATGAGGTCTTCCCACATGTGTAAGATGCTGCTTTGTCTTGTAAGAACAGACCCTTCCTTAGACTGATTGATCATTCTTGTTGATGTGGAAGTTTCACTTCCATGCCCCTGGATTGAATCGTGTTATTGAGGAGACAGCTGTCTGCCACAAATGCTTGGCCTTCGGCTAGAAAAACATGGTGAGCAGTTCCATCCCCAAACCTCCACATTCACACAGAAAGCCTAGGCCGCTTGAGGGTTTAGAAATGTGAGCGATTAACTATTTGGAGGTAACCACCATCACAAGTCTGTAAACAATTTGAAACCGACACAATTTTACAATATACCTGACAGAAGTGAACAAATTGATATCTGTTAATTAACGGCCTATAAGACTCGTCGGCTCAACTTCCACGAATAAACCAGTCGATTTAGGTGAGGAAAATTTGTTTAATTGCTCATGTTGAAATTAAATGAACGTTTCAGAGACGTAGATCTCAAATTAACTCACAAACAGTGGCGCGTACTTCTTCATTATCGAGAAATGAGGAGCTTTCTTAGAACGGTACCTTTGACCGTTTCCGGGTCGGTGCTTTCCACTGCTGAACTTCTCCAAACACCACGCAACATACGAGGTGTTTTCGCAATTTTGTGATTGGTCCGAAATTGCTCGGTGTTTTATAAAATATAGGTTAAAAAAGTAGAGGAAAGAAGTCGAGAACACAATCAAGGATGCCATATTGATAGACTAATGCGTCCAGATGGTTTATAATCCATGTAAACAAGTGCTTGCACTTGACAAGTTCCTGTAAGCTCAACAAGGTAAGCCGAAAATTACACGAAAGTTTCGGACAATTCTTAATTAGTTTCCAAAATCCACATTATTAAAAAAACTAGCAGTGATACTTCATTGATACGTATCAACAAAAATGGGATTCAATTAAACAGTTGGGAATTTGGGAGAATTACCAGAATGTATAATTTCGTCAATAAAATTAGCTATAGTGCTCAAAGCATATGGATCACATTGACAGGTACACCTTGGGAAGATTGAAGGTGCCAACAGAAAACGCAAATATTACTTAAAAACTCGATAAAGACCACTCCAATCTAAGCCCCTTAAAATCAATCATTTTTAACACCGCTGTTTGGCTTATGCGAAATGCTAAAAGTATTTATTTTATGATAGTTTTGGATAAATCCATGGCTGTCAGTGAAATTATTGCATTTTTTAAGGCAACTTTTAAAATTGCGGCTAAAATGTATATCAACACTTATTGAGTCGATTTTATTTCTAATTTAAATCAAATAGAAAGGCATTTCACTCCTCCAGATCATTCAAATATTAATGCAATGGGGTAAATATACACTGCATTCCGCCGATACAGCATTCGCTCATACAGTAATGCTGAGTTAATCAAGTGAGTTTATTGGCTTGATCCCGCTAGATCAAGCGAGTATAGCTTCAAAGAATAATGGTATAATATTGATGCAAGGAAATAAGCAGTAATCCACTATGAACAGTAATTAACTCTGTAGAAAAATTAAAATGAATGATCATTAAAAAAATTTATAGTTAATGGCATTTCGTATTATCGGACAAAATGTTTATTGTTAAAAACCGTCGAAAGCAGACTCAACAAATTTGCTGGTGGGTGAATAACTACATATCGTTCTGACATAAATAATGAAACTACTTTGGAAAATTTACACCATTTGTGGAAGTAATATTATGTCCAAGAGTAGGACGGTCTGAAAGCAAGATTCAAGATATAACATTAAAAATACACAAGTATGATCAAATAAAACCATTTAACTAATTACTTGTACAGTAAAAGAAAGATACATAATCATAATTAAGACAAAATAACGGTCGCAATATCTGAAAACTCCATACAGGATATGTATATGAACACTTGGTCGTCACTCATCTGTCGGCCTCTGGCCCAGTTGCGCTGTCAATGATTTGACGTGAATAAGAGACCTGGGAAAACTTTAAAAGGAAATACTTGCCAACCCTCTCTACTGTCTCGTCTCCTCTACAAAGGCCTGAGCTTTTACTTGCCAAGAAGCTATCACAGAGGGGTCAATGCATTGGACACGCTTCACTTTTACAACCAACAACGCGAAACTACCGATCGCCCTTCCTTCTTTCTACATATGTGTTGGTGTATATTCTGACCAATTTGGAAGAAATTTGCCAACGAGCATTCAAAATACTAATATCCCACCAAGTGGGTTTCACGAACGAAAATGAAAATACCAAAATGCTAATGGCACTGCTCTAATGGTAGTATTCGTTGTTGCCTCCTACGACTGAAGACGAAACAGAACAAAATTTTTTCACAGCACTATACTAATATCAAATTAAGTGGACTACTTTTAAGGGAAATAGCTAGTTTACCGTGAAAGATTTCAACATAATATAGTAGCATAGATGAGGTTTACGTTCTGGCAACTGAATAATGCCTCATTTTCGATAGTAGCGAAGAGCCCTGCTTTTTCCTTCTTTGAAGACAGTCTTCCGGACTTTCTGTAAATGGGTGCAGTTACTTCTACATAACGCCTTCAGGGGTAGTTGAGACGCCAAATTCCCATTAATAAAGCGAAAATACACTAATAACAATCTCCCTGTTTGCATGTAAAAAAGAAGAAATCTACCGGTTTTGTTAGTCAAAACGTAAAGCAATGAGTAAGCAAAATTCTCCTAAAAACGAATTTACTACTGATAAATGGGGCGTTGTTGAAAGCATTGGAAACTCGGTAATTCTACGACTCACTGAGGTTTGCAAATCATCCAACTGAATTGATTTATTTAGGTAGACGCACTGATGTATAAACACACTGAAACACCAACTCCGTTTTTTATAAATTCTTCGCTGTATCTGCAATAGATGGTATTTTGATACAAATCAAAATCCACGAAGTGGCTCTTTCCAGCTGAATTTTGCTATGATGCAAGAGTATCCTTTGGTAGGGAAAGCATGAAATGAAAACGCAACTTACTGCTTTGAAAGTGCCACGCCCGTTCCGCCATAGGAATGGTTATCGAGTTTCTGTTTCACATTTCGAACGTAGCCTGTGCAACGAGAGGGAGACGAAATTAAAAATTTGTTTGGTAAAGCATAGTACATTAAATAGCATAATACAGCATTTTGAAGCAAATTTACAGCTTTTGCAAGAGCCCTAATTTGTTAAGATTATAAGTTAGGTTAGCCAAACAAAAAGCGCATTTGCTAAAACTAGAAATAAATCTATCCTGGGTATTTATTTGTGCTTAAAGTTCCTCAGTCGCCTTGTTGGCGTACCTAGGTGCAATTTTAAACCGATGCCCAGATAAATCACTCCATAAAGTAGGCATGACCTGTAGGTATAATTTCCATTAACAGAAAAATCCTAGTAACTGGTAGCACGCTGTATAAAAGGCAGAAGACGGTCACGCAGGCCACGGTACTACCATTGATTCAAAAAGCGCGAGTCCGTTAATAAATGTACCATTACCAATAAGCGCATAACGAACTGGGGGTTGGTATTACCAAAAGTATCCTTATTTTGATTTTAAAGATGGATCTACGAGATTCCGTATTCTAAAAAAAGCAATAAACTTACATTCAATACATTGTCTAGTAAAACCCGTTTCGGCTAAGGAGCATGGACGAAGCGTCAGATTCCACTAATTTGAAATGCAATTTTGCAAGTCATCTGATTCACTAAGCACATCATTTCATTTGAATTTTGGCCAAAAAGGTAATATAACTAAAAGTTCTGCGCTTCAAATTGAAGTAAAATAATTCTTTAATCATTTGCTTAGTGATTCGAAGAACAAAAGGCGGGTTATTTGGGAATCATTTCAAAAATGGGATAAAACGCAAAGGTGTAGACGATTCTCCTTGATAAACAAGTGCTCCATCGTAAATGGTCCAAAATTTACGATAAACAAATCAACCAACTTGATATTTTGTAGGATGTTTCACCAAGTAAAAGTATGATAAAGATAGAAATCTTTTTTTCAATTCAAATTACAATCGCAGGGGTGAGGGGGAGCTTGCAGAACCTTCTTGACTTTTAATTGCCAGAAGTTACCTTACATTTACATCATTAAGTTCATTACAAATGCCAGAAAAGCCCACACATTAATAAAGCGGATTACTGTTTAGATAAAATGAATGCTTTTTCTCGTGTAGGATTTGTAAAAATAACACGGAACCTAGGTTAAATAAACATACTTCACTCAATAGGGTGTTCCAAATAGTTAAGGAAACATGAATTTGTAAGACAAATTATTTCTGCGCAGAAATCTTGCCAGAATGTGAGAATAAGCATCCCTAGAACACCAGGTGTTCGTGCCAGATGCCAGGATTGAAGCCTTCCCATGCCCATTCCCCACTGCAAAACACATGTTTGAAGAGAACAAATAGGAGAGAGCCACCCTGCACTAGATGTACTGGGGCCGATTTTGCACGAGACCATCACTTTGTCTATTCAACCTCCATCAATGATTGTTTTACATTCAAGCACATATTTGAAGTTGATACGTTCACTGATTTACAACATGAATACATGTAATCAGTGCGACGTTCGGAGGTTGTGAGAGCGTTAGAGACCGATACAATGCATCCATTAGTGACATTTACCGCCAAGGTTAAGCGTGCTAGCAAAAAACCTCCTCCGTAATGAGCCGCTTTTCCGCAGGACTTGGCTAGATGAACGCATGAGGTGAAATGAGGTCTTTGGTTGATCGAGAAGGCCTGTCTCCGGGAGAATGTTAGGCGTAAAATAAATGGAATTTAAGTTTAACAGGGTTATGTTTGTTTTGATTTAGCAGTTATCAAGGAGTGTAGTATCCGGAAAGTAAAATTAACCAAGGCAGAAACGGAAGAAAAAGCAACAAAAGAGTGGGAGAATGGGGGGAAAAGAGAGAAAATAAGGAATTACTGATGACCATATATACGACTTGACCCACAACGCAGTAATGCCCTTTACGCTGGCTTTCTCGTTTGAAAACAGTGTTGGTGTAAGTACGCACACATTATGCCATATGACCCATTTTTAAAGTCACCGAGACACTTGAATTTGTCACTTAATTAAATTTTATTCAAGGATGATTCCATTTAGATAAAAATTTAGAAATGCTGAGAAAATATCAAATGTGATTTATTTTTGCCGAAGTCCCAAAAGGTATTTAGCTTATTCTAAAATTAACTTTATATGAACAATAGAGCAAATATAGTTATGCTGTGAGCACATGCTTACTAAGCGATTTTGAGCCCTAAAGGCCGAAAGTTCTTAAGGAATGCCTTGATAAAATCCACTAGACTACAGTCCAGGAAATTCCTCCTTTGACGAGCGATGTGTCTTGAAACGTGATTAAGATGATGATGCCCTGATTTAGTGAGCGTAGAGTATCAAACAGGACCCATATTTGGTAGTTGGATGCCACAGCTCTGGCTTTCTCTTATAATCATTTAAAAAGCACGAAACCTGCTTCAACACTTGTTTAACATTAAATGTAACTAAATTATAGAATGGGAAAGTGCTGACGAATGAAAGCGGTAGTTTATTAAGGCAGTGCTATATTGATAGTATGAGCTTACGCGAAATGGGCTCAGGGGAAGTAAGACCAGCTTGTGAGCTACTACGGTGTGTGTGACCAAATCCGGAGTTGCTTCGCTTCACCTTGGCCTCTCCGTCAACAATGGGAGAGACGACTGCATCAGGGAGTGAGAAGGAGGGATTTTGAGGGGATGAACAAGAGGCGCTTTCGTCAATCAACTCATTGAAGCTGCTATTGCGGCAGTAAAATATGTCCTCCGTGGAGGCTGCCAAACCAGAGGAGCCGCTATTGTTTCCACGACTTCCACTGCTACCTCCCGTGTCCTCCAGAGGACTGGTAAACTTCCTCACTAGAAAAAAAAACGGTGGTGCTGGGAAGCAAATGTTGATAAATCAATTAAGGTTGGAGAGATTGCAGTACGGTGCTCAAGCCAGATTAGCAATTGAGTGTGTGCACAACTGCATGTTAACGGACAAAAAATAATAACGTGGGGGAAATAAGATCCACCAGTCGTACTATTTTTTGCTAAACAATCCGAGTTTCTCAGATAAATTTGATGGTAACTCACTATTTCTCCATGAAATCCAATGTTGAACTAAGAATACTGGCCGATAAAACTATTGGGTATGCGAGTCAAGTTTTTTGTGCGCCCTTTTTTGCGTAATCAGTTCTGCTAGTTGGTAATACTGGGTGTCTGTTTGAAGCCCCACTTAACACAAAATAAAATCAGGATTATAATTCGGTTAAAATATGCAAAATTAAGGAGCAGCATTGCAGGGTAAACCAACAAAATTATTTGTGAAGCTTCAAAAAGAATGATGTCACCGAGCCACGAAATTGGTCCCAATAATTCATCGTGTGGGACGCCTATCCATGACCTAAGACGCACGAATTTTATGGTAATATTCGACCAATATAATCTACACTTTTCTCTTGAAAAAAAAACAAGGTAAGCCGAGGGATATTATGATAAAATCGCACAAAAAATCTAAGCAATTGTCGAGGTAAGGACATTCTTGATAAGTTAGGAAGCAAATTCGATTGCTGGGACTAGTGAATGCATGAGTGGTGAGATATCATGTGCAGCAATCATTCAGTCTGTATGTATGGGGAGGCCATTAGTGAGATAAGGGGAGTGCAAGATACGCTTAGGGTCAATCAGCCTACCGAAAGTGGGTTGTCCCTTATGGTGCGAGGTCACTACAACGGACTCTGCCGTGAGCATTGCGCTCAAGCTTGGTCGGTGGTGAGCCTTGCGCTTTCTCACGTTCCAACTATTGTAGACACGGGATCCTTTAATCCATAGAAGATGGATAAAAATTTCAGCCCAAGAAACCCATTTCAGCCCAAAATAGACCTAATTTACCCGCTGTAACGGTTTTAGCTCGCTTTCAGATCAGCCGATGTAGAAGCCTGACAGTATGCTCGAAAAAGCCAAGCTTTCAGAAATTTCTTTTAGTTTTGCGGGTAGCTAGTGTCAATCCTTTATACGCCATTAACTGAAAATCCATTCTAGGTTTGCAAACTCGCTTACACATGACTACCTACACCACTAACGGAAAATGAAAACTGTACGAGTTAGTTAACCGGCAAAGTGGTATTAATTTTACATAACCGAAATGAAGGTAGTTGGATTGGGGCAAACTGCATAAAAGATAACTGTTCCAATGAGAAGGAGGAGGTACAAATAGGCAAAATAATGTGACACAACTCATCATCCGGCTCACCATGTTGGTGTGACTTCTCCAATTTGATATGGGAATGGCTGGAGTGGTGCCAAGGTGCAAGCTGGGTTGATGCAGGCTATTCTGCCTCTGAATGTAACATTTAAGCGACAAACGACACAAAATTATGTTCATTAACCGCCTCAGTCCTGTGAATCTAAACTTCGTGGTTCAAAATTGCAATCCAAATATTGAAGCCTAGTTTCCCACTTTCAAAAGTCCACGTCGCAAATGATTTTTTTATTGTTATGAAACTATTTTAACTCACATATGAAGCAGTTTAAAGGAAATGTGTTTAAATTGCACCAAAAAAGAGCACTTTATGTTTTTACTGGTCCACTCCTCATAATCCTACATTAAAGGTTAGCAGGATGCCAAAGAAATGCGTCATTAAGCTCAGTTTAATCCCTTGTCACGATATGGTGGGGCATGTGGACAGCTTTTACACTTACCGTTAATACGGTGGTTTCCAACTGATCGGTTAAAAGGTGTGCGCCTCAATATGCCCATACTTAATACATATAGGTCAGAGCCTAATGAGGAAGAAGAACCACAGCCAAGTTATTGTGTGCAAACGTACATATTCCTTTCCAAAATGCTTTCATTGCCACGCCCATGATAGGAAGGCAAGTAAAGCTGGATTTGGGGGTAAACTATGTGAAACGCATTTTTTTAAATTGGTGCTCACCAGATGCGTTAGTAGATTCGGGTAGGTAGGTCCCAGAGTTAAGTACTCCCGAGCGGGAAACGGAAGATGCGGTAGTAATGGGTGAAATTCCAGGGGAGACACTCATTCCCACATTGGAGATGGAGCCTCGACTCGCACTATAAAACCTGTTGTCCTTTGCACAGGACTCTCGCAATCCGGCTCTGCATCGATGATGCACGCTGACGTCACAAACTGAAAAAAGAACGAGAAGCCCGATGGTACGGAAGATCACTTTCCACCATGGAGTAGAATATGATCGTTTAGACCTCTTTTTCAGTAAATCTAAAAAGTGTTGACTAAATTATGCATAAGTAAATTATGCATAAAAAAGACGGACTCTGACAATTTTCAAAAATACACGCCTCCTAAATGAACAATAATGATCAGACTACACCCATCATATATCTAATAGCCATCGTATTCACCAGACCTACTTTCGACCAATAAATGCCACATCAATCCAATTTTTTACGACTCAGTTAAGAAAAAAACGGGTTTTAAGTCGTTGATTAAGATCTCACTGCTTCACCCCTGGAGGCTAACATAAACATTCACAGGCGTTGTATTGGAAACTTTGCAATGGTAGCTAGGCCATCCTTGAATAATTACTACACTACGTTCCTCTTAATGCATAACGGAGGGGGGAGGTTTATCTTTCACTTTTGCAAAAATACCAAGAGTTACTTAATTTAAGATATTCAGATGCGTTATGATGGACGGTGCTCATGCTTGTCAATTAAGGAAGATGATAAGGTTAATCCCTATTCTGTGCATTAAACTTGCATGAAAAGTTGACTGGGATAAAATTAACCGAGCGATTCTCAGTGTGAGCAATTGTTTGAAAGTTGAAGGATGGAATTCGATTAAGGCATTTGAAATCAGAGTAAATGTAAATGTAAGAATTGAAGAATTTACATTCTGAAACATTATTGACATTTCTAGAATAACCAAGATCCTTGAGTCTTCATTCAAGTCCACGTAAAAACATGAGTCACATAAAAAAAAACAACTTTTTATTCTAATAAGGACTTGCAGATTAGACTGAATGGTTCGAGGTCTTGTCATAAAAACAAAATACATCTGACAACTCCTGGAACAAATTATCACCTAATTACGGTTGGCCTTAAACGGAGATTGTATAAATAATCTGTGTAAAGTGCCATTCCAAACGAATGAGCCCATGACCCCGAATATGGAATCTCCCACCCTCTCTCCGCAGATCAAGGGGTTTGGGCGTGATTCTATTGCAGTGGTGGTAGAAAACAACACCTTGATCCTGATTTTTGCCGCCATTCATCATTAATCCAATTACTGTAATCAAACACGGGACTGTCATTAATTGTCAACGTTATAACTAAAATCATCTCGTGTTTCGTGTGAATAAAAGACCATTTATCATGGAGATTCATCCCACCTTGTTGGTTTTTCGTGTGGAAGACAAGAGAGTAGCCATTTTAAATTGTTTACCCCAGTGGCAACGGCTCCTTAGCCCAAACATGTACGCCATATACTGAGAAGTTGTTTTCCTTTGTCAGCCTACCCGTCTAATTGCGTTGAACTAACATATTTCTGAAATTTCGATTCGGTGTCTAAATGCCTTTTGACAGTCTTATCGGTAAAAATCCCTCTCAATCCTACAAAGCTGTCTTAAAGAAGACGGTGTTAGCAATAATTTTTCAGGCCTTGTTATGGAAATACCTTCAATGTCCCAAGTAGTTGGCAGATTCAAATTACTATTATCAAATTGTCCACCATTCCCAACGTTAGATACGTCACTAATTAACATTCAAAATAGCCTCAATCTTATGTTAAGTGTCCATAACCGAAGTATATTCCAAAACACTAGAGGACCAAGCTTTTGTGTTAAATAATGTTCCAGATGTTCGAATTTTTTATCAAATAAAGGTTTCCTGACTGGGTTTTCAAAAACTCCACCGTAAATTTCTACTCTTCTTTCATACTATGCGACTCTGTAAAAAGAAACTTCAAAATTGCTACCTTCTTAGATGTCTCTTCGTGATAAACGAGATGACGCTCTCTATGTCAAGCAATTTGAAATGGCGGGGCACTATCAATCCGTTTGAGAACATGTGAAGTGAATGACACACACAAGAAATATCTGTTAACAGAAATTTACGCTCACATGAACAATTCGGTGGACTGGCACATTAGAGCTAACCACACATCATAACTTTATTAATGTCTTATATCATGCGGATGGTTAAGGAATGGGGAGAATGACCTTGACAGGAGAGTCCCTGAGGTGCCAGTCCCCAGATCAAACCACCGCAGACAGCGCATTCTGTAAGTCGGTCAAAAATGTGCTCCTGGAGTGAGTGTCCCTTTTGAGAGTGCTAAAGCAAAAAAATGGTGGGTCATTTCATAATAAAGTCACTGTGAATTAAGGGTGCGATGGTGTGACCGCTGAGAATTTCTGCGGCATACCCTTACCCAGTGCCACAAACTCAAAAGGCTGTAAACTAACCTGTGTGAAAGCGGCTTCAATAATCTAAAAGAGTTGTAATTTCAGAGGCTTCACTCTTCATTTAGGTTTACTTCTAGCAGAGTATACATTTTTTTGAAACTTTTCATCGTGTAGATTAAAGCAAAAAGTTTAAACTTTAGAAACAAAGTTTGTGATGTAAGAAAAACTAATAAATGGGATCTTCTAACGGCAAAAGCACACCCATTAAAAACTAACATTTAATGCTACTACCCAAAATCTTCGTGACGTTACGTCAAATGGAACTGATTGCTCATGGTGAAATTGCGTACAATTAATCAAGACCATCAGATCTGTCTTTAAATTACAAGATTCGCAAATGCGCCGTACCTTAGTCTTCCAGCTTCCAAAGATCACATTGGAAGATTTGGACTTGAGCTTGGCATTGAAAGAGGGAAGTTTGCCCCAGTTGATGGCTCCGATCGTTGCGAGGCCACTTGACATGCTACTCGAGAGGTTTGTGGAGCCCAAACCCGTGCCTCCGGCAACTTGAGTCGATACCGCTGCCAAATTTTCGATTGATCTGTGGAAGAGGTATACCCTCTTAGCAATAAAGATGGCTTGTTTTACGATCGCTAAACCAACTTTTAAGGTTTATTAGGCATGGGTTTATATAGGAAAATTGTGTTTATTTTAGTCTCGTTCTTGAACCGAATCGTAGAGCTGTTATATTTGTAGCAGATTTATGTCTGTATTTAAATGATGCTACTCAAGCCCTGAAAGCTCGCTCCTGATCGACCTTCAGGATGATGATATTGAACTCTGCTAACGCGACCTATACCGTCAATGTATCAAAATAAGTTTACTAGTGGATATGAGCATCTTAAGTTGCCTTCAGGCTGATCTGGTAACTTGGTCTTCGATATCGTTCGCCCCATGAGGTATTTAGTCGCTTCCGGCACTTCAGCGAAGATACGTCTAAATAGATCGTCTAAATATTGTATAAACTACTGTCAGTGAAGAAAGGTACTTTCCGTGGATAGCTAGATCAAAGGGTTACCGTAATAAAGGGACTAAAAGGGTGTTAACAGGTTACCAAATGCAGCAATCTCAGGATCTAAGCCATGGGATGGGGTCTAGGAAGAAGCTTAAAACATTTTTAAAAAAAATGGAAAGGATATTGTTTGACTTTCACCACTACTTTCTACATGAATGGCCCTCTACAAATTATTCGAATGAATTTCTAAAAGTGTCAAACATTCCAATAAAAGCCAAAATATGCAAGCACTAATAGTCTACCAGTTGTGAGCAAACTAGAGATGTTTCATTTCAGGTCGGTGTGTAGAGTATATCACGCTTGTCTCTTATCAAAAGTATTGACATTCAAAACTATAACCTACCAAGAAAATCGTTTTTGGGATCTATTCTTATGACCCTTGTTACCATCTAAAGAGTAATCACTTAAGACCTCACTGATGGTGTAGAAGGTTTTTTGCTTCCATTCCGCAATCCATCCATCACGCCGGTGGTATAAATCGCTAGTCAGGTCACTTATGCTCACGGCCCTGCCTAGCCTTTTGCATACCTATGGTAAAGCCACTTTTCGGCTTCCAGATACTTCAGAACATTTGAGACCAAATATTGTGTAGATTAGTAAATATTCAGTGTACTTGATATAAAGTTACGAATGGATTTCGAATAGCATAATAAATACCTCAGGTTCTCATTATGTTAGTTGCCAAACACACTTAAAGCCTTCTGTGTGGAGAATTGACTTGAATGGGAACCTTAATAACAGGTTTGATATGTAACCGACGCATAAAATTTTGAGCGAGATCAGGTCTGCACAACCAGCTTAAGGTGCGGATAGCAATGAAATTAGAAGGGTAGAAACATAAGAATCGTTTCATCAATCCTGCCTGGGCTCCGATACTACCATCACAAGGACAAAATCAGATTTGTGCTAAGGTGTAGAAATGTAATCTTTGCTTTCAGTTGCAAATAATCCTCCCATGCATAAGTATCATTATCTTTTGCAAAAAAACCCACCTCATGATTTATTCTTTGCGTGAAGTGAATGATCCAATTTGGGAATGTCACTATTGCATTGACTATGAAAAATGTACATGCTTTCATCAGTTTTTTCTACATATCCAACCCACCTCTATGGGTCTTGACATTGCACACCAGCAGTAGCGACAACAGCGATTATGGTGTGGAAAGAGAAATGGCAAGTGTTTGCACTTATTTCTTTTGAAAATTGAGATTTTGCCTCATTTTAAAGCAAAAATTTATCTAATGCCCACTTTTTTTTCACCAGGATAGCTGGCATGTCATAATTCAAAATATTTTTGCTTACTCCTTCCTGCTGGATATAAAGAAATCCTCCGAAACATAACACCTATCACCAAAAGATTCTTGCAATACAATTTTACGAATAGAAGGAAGTGTGGGAGATAAAAATATGACCGAAAACACCCAGAGAGGATGTGTATTTGTGTGTTTATATATTAAGATTACCATATATATTACCATATATATATTATATATATATATTACCATATATATTAAGATTACCATAAATCTTGCTTAAATACATAGGGGGCGGGGGTATTCTTAAACCGGTTACGCCACCACGGACATTTGCTTACAAACATCAAACAGGTCTTGACCACGAGGGCTTACTTGGCGAAGAGGCTCTTTCTGAAGGAATGTTGAGGTGGGATTGGGGTGTTGGGACAAGTGGGAGCTGAGCCGATGACACTGCCTTCGGTAAAGGCGTCGGATTGAAGTGGTGAGGAGGAGGCAGTAGCGGTGGTAGAAGCAGCGAAATATCGATAGGCCGAGACCAGAGAGGCACACAACGCCGACGCAATCTGCTCTCTGGGGGTTCCAGTGGCCATAGCTGTGGAAGACACCCAGGCGACAACGGCAGAGGTGGCAGTGGTGAGAGACGAGGTAGCTGAAAGGTGGCTTCCGATTTGTAATGGCGCCTGATTTGTTGTGATGCGCTGAAGCTCGTTTACTCGTGGGCTCATTATCATCTCGTATATGCTCAATTCTTCTTCATACGAGTGTGCGACAGTGAGATCGAAACTCTCTGACGGTTTCCATGTGTCAAGACCTGAAAATGAAAAACACATTAGGCACTGCACATAATAAAAACTGATTCCTTTATCTAAGTTCTACATAACTCATCATTATGAAGTTCTCGGAGAAATATAAACTCATTTGCTGCAGAAAAGGATTTCCGTTTTTTATTCTTACTTTTTACGGCCAAAATTTATCAGGTATTCGCTTCCCCTCTAACTTCATTTAATTTTAATGGACCGCTTATCTCTTCAGCGAAGTAATTCTATGGGCAGACGGTTACTGTGGCTGTTTTGGAATTTACTTCACACTTTGCAATTGGCATTTAAACATCATCCACATCCAAATCACCGAGGCAGCCTTGTTGACACAAACTTTTTTTGCAGAACCAATCAGAAGTCGAGAGAATTTCTAGTCATCAGTTAAGCTCGATAGAGTTATAGAAGAAAGAATTGATGTGATATAAAGCTCATCACAATTAATGAGTCAACAGCACTTAATGTTACACTCCGAACGCCGATTATCCATCTACGTTTGACTGCATTTTCTTGACCGGGAATAAAGAATGACAAATTCCAACTCATGGACTGTTGATGATGGACTCCTTAATTCCCTAATTTCTCAACCGACACAGACCAAGCCTATTTATTGTCACGATAGCTAGAAACATGGAATGTCCGAGGATCAGCATAAAATCTCCCCCATAACTATACACTTAGAATAGTTCGTGACATTGTAGTGAGTCGCTTGGCTGGATTTGGTCACCATGTGGAAGTAGTGAAAATGCCAACTATTCGGTGTTGGCATTCGTCAGTCTGAGTGCATGCACGCAGCAAAGATGAGAGCGCGTACGGCTGAATCCCTGACAATGTACTGAGAGTGCTGCGTACTTTCACACAGACCGTTATCTTTTCTTAAGCAACTTTACGCGGCGGTTAATTACAAAGGCCAAATGCTACACCTAAGGGGACCGTATTAGAAATTGTAGTCCAGTGGCAAATAAAATTCCAATCAAATATAACGCATAATGTTATCCAAGCAACTACATGACAGCCTAAATGTACAAGTTTACTAGACTGTTTATTTATTCAGAAAGAATTTTAAAAAGGAACATTTATCAATCAAGCTCAAACTGGATTAGGATTGGGAAATCCAAACAAAATCTTACCATATCGAATATCCTTATTAAGTTTGTCCACCTGGACTTGAATTTGTGGAAGTACGGCAGTGCAACAGCCCTCAAAAACCGTCGTAGTCTCTCCGGACGAGATGGAATCTTCCACCTGCCGAATAAATTGGCTGTCCACCTTGATGCATAGTGGCTAAATTTGTAACCACATACCAAATCAGTCGTGCTTTGCATAATCTACTTCCGCACTTAGCATTGACTCATCTACATGAATTACACCTGGCCCAAATGCACTTTTCAAGCTCATGTGTGATGGAATTTTGGGTTCTAAATGGGACACATCGCGGGATAAGCGAAAAAATATGGCCTTTATTTAACACAACCCCTTCAAAGTGAGTATCTTTACAGCTCAGATGCATAAATTTACCGATTTCTCATGAAGAAAAGTTGTGTATATCTCCATGAAGACGCGCAGGTGATCCTTTTCAACCTCTTTGTTATGTGTTTGCATCCAGTAATAGTGCTTCGCGACAAGGTAGAAAAGCTATAATACAAGAGTAAGTCTTAAAGTAGGCCCGCAAGTACATGTATACATTCTAGCACCGGTCATATGATTTAAATGCGGGACTATTTAGTAAACTTGATGGTATTTAGAAAAAAGCAGTGTAAACAGTCACTCCTCGCCTACTTAACTGCAAATGTCAAGTAATGCAGTTAAGCCCATCGATAGGTGAAGGATAAAGCTTCGGATTTTTTTGGTCTTGCAAAGAAACATTCCAGCCTCGCTCACAACTTATTTTACATCGTAGGCGAGAAAAGTGCCGCCTCACACCACTCATTAGATGGAAAAAAGTAAATACCCTTGAAAATAACTTAGCTAGCTGAAAAGGAAGTTCTGTGTGTTGGTGGGAATATGGAAAAGGCAGAGGATTGGAATTCATGATTTCCGCAACGTTAGGGTTGTGCATATCTCTTCCAATTTGAAGTCTATAGGATTTAACCAATACCGAATATTTCACATGTCAAATAAATAACAGATTTGGAATAAATGGTTGGAGCAGTTTTGCGATTTTACAGATGGAAGGATATATCAGATGTTTGAAGTAAGGGGAGCTAAACTTGGCTTTTCTCTCAGTAAAAGAAAAAAATAATTCCTAAACCTGTATGACTGAAATGGGCTGGTAATGGGAAAAATAATATAATTGAATATTTGAATTCGTCATTGACTACTTTGTTCTATTCTATTCTATAATTTTAGGACTTACTACTCAGACGGTCTCATTTTGTCATTTACAGTTTTGATGCATTAAGTTATCTCATGCTCAAAGCAAGAGAAGCTGTAAACAGAGTTTAACTTCTTCTCTATTGGAAAACTAGAATAATCGGAACTTGTCGACACAGCTCTACAATACATCTAAATAGAAATGAGTCCAAAAAATGATTACTCATTTTCTAATATTTTGAAGAAGGCAAGCTAATAAGGGACGCGACTTCTCTCCACAGAATAGCACAATTACAAGGTCCTTTAAGTTCGAAGAACACATTTCAAGGAATGATTCTGGAGGGTAAGGGATTGGCAATTCAGTAATTCAAAAAGTCATTTAATCGTGGACATGGTGAAGTTCTATGAACTTACAATTGGGGCGAGTTCGTGATTTTGCACCAGGAGGTAATTGAGAAGAACCGCACTAAGTGCGGGACTGTTGAGCACACTGCAGGCAGACTGAAACCTCGCAGCAAGAGCACAAATCTCCTCCCTTATTTGCTCCTACAGTCCACAAAGCAAAAAACAAAACATCCGTCATGGAAAGGGTCAGTAATTTGTTAGGTCTAGAATGTCTTCCCTCGCAAGACCAAGCTTTCTTATAATTTGAATCTTTGAAGTATAAATTCTTGATTAGAGGTGGTGGTTGCGATCTTTAGGAGCAACTAAGCCATGTTGGGCGGTTACATTGGATGCGTAGGTTGCGATCAGAGAGCACATGCATTTGAAAGAAGTGGAGAGGCCATATTTACATCATCACTGTCGCATTCGTTAAGCACACGACCCAGAAAGTGACCAGAGGGCGGTGATGTTGCTGCATTCTGCGCAGTAGATGTCGCAAAGTTGTGCTGTTAAACACGAAACAGTGAAATATTTGATAACTTATATATTTAAGACAATAAAAAGTAAAAAATTATCATGCTTGCCATTGATTTTGTTTTAATTTTAACCGAATCATACTTGCTAAATTTAAATGTAATATTAGCTAAACCCTTTCCATCTCTTGCCATTCTGACTCCACACTTGTGACGTGGAGTTCCCTTCTTATCACCCATGATATTTGCTACCCGAAACTTCCATATACTTTCAATAGAGCTACTTGCATATTTCAGAAGTAGCTTAGGCTCCAGATTGATGGTAGTAAAAGCGCCTCCAGCCTCCTTTGTTCCTTATGAATTTGACGCTTTAAAGAATGTTTAAGTGTAACTGAACTGACTAGCCAGTAAGCAAAGAAAAATTATGGAAGCAATTTGTCATGGGCAACTAAATCTGGGATTATGCATCAGGGGAAAGTCTACTAATACCACAAGATACATATTTGGGACAGTAAAAAGGAGACCCCAGTTTAACAAATTCAAATCGCTCACTAGAAAGTCTACCTTTGCCATTCCCATAAAAAAATGCATGGAATTTCCATGTCAAAAAGATACTAGACAATCTTGGTTGAATATCTGGCGGCTTTGAAGTGGAACAGGAGGAGTGGTAACAAGATGTACCACCCAGGTCGATTTTTTTCGTAACGTTGATTACATCCTGGCACCATTTAATGAACATTTACTTCCTCCCAGACCTTCGGATTGTTCTCTGAAGAGACGTGAGGTAAAGTTATGATCAGATTTGGGGAGAAAAAGAGTTTCCTCCGCATTTAAACAGTTAGACGGTATAGAAATCTCAAGTACGATCTACGAATTAACTAGTCAATTCATTGCATAGAACTGTTTGTGCTGTAACAACAATGAAAAAGAGCGTGGAAGTATTCGTGTTTATACCTGTGCTTCTTTTACCGTACCATACTTCAATCTGTGAAATCCATTTTTGCACATGATAGCAATAACATGCAAAGCGAATTCAAAATTAACAATATTATCAAACAGGATACTGTTTACGTCCAAACAAATGTGTACATATCTATATAGTGCACGCGAAGAAAAGGGGAGAAACTGTCATTAATAATCCGAAAGGTTGAAATAACTGGTTCTCTGTTAAAAAACGTATTCTTCAGCTAATAACACAGGAATGACTTCGTCCTGTTATATCTGCTGGACAATGGTCATTTGCTATGCGCACACACACGTTCAAGGGCAGCTTTAGCTGCGATATGGGCGATGGAGCTACTAGACCTCAAAAATGGATGTTGACCGTCTCTATGATTCAGCTTAGCGAACGCTTGCAAGTGGCGATTTGAGCACGTGACTCGGGCGGAGTTGGTCATGCGTGGTCACAAAGCACCAATCATTGACCACCGACTCACCTTTCAAGTACCCGTCGCTTTCACCTTATTTTAGAACATCATCCTTAATGTCGGGCTCAATCTAGGAGTGCTAACGCCTTCATTTAGGGCTTAGTGTCGAAAAAATCCTTACTTTTTAGAGTACATCCAGTATGCCAGGTCAGAGCAATATTAACCAATATGAATATTAAGAGTGGATGCACTAAAAACCTATCTAGCAAAATAATGAGACCGCATCTTACGCGAATCGAGACAATATTAACTACCGTAACGACGTTTTAAATGGCAACTAGCACATTGTTCATCTGCCAAGCACGTCATTGGGGCATACATATATCGCCATTTAATCATGAAAATACACATTTGACAGCTAAATGACACTTGCTGTAAGCGGCCCCGACATAATCATCTTTTTGTAGAAACGTTAGACACAAGTCACTTAACAAGAACTGCGTACCCAGTATGCCGAAATTGGCATTTCTGTTAACGCCACAGCATGATTTTTTTAAAAAACTAGTATTGTGATCCTACTTCCACATCCAAATTCATGTTTGGCATTAGACACATAAGGGAAGGCTCACACTACTTAGAACATGCAGTCCAGAGTAGTTGATTTAAGATTTTCGTTTAGTACAGTACAGCATCATTTAAGAGGTCGGACCATAAAGTGACAAAAATGGAGAAAAGGTAAAATTGAGGTGTCAAAATCTTGCCATAAATTGCCATAGACGAAGAGTGAGTTAATTCAATAAGCAGCAAATTTAGGAGTGAATAAAGTAACCTGATATTCAGGCCCTGTAGTTCGATGAAGCGACCACAAAATGCACATACACAAACACATCTACAAGTACGGTAGGGTTTTGCATTCATTGATTAGGCCACGACGAATGTCAGGAGCTGGCGACCTTTAATAAATTGGTTAGTTGGTTCTCTAAAATACCGCGTTCTTGTGGATTCGAGGCGAGAAAGGTCAGATCTCCAAAAAAGCATCCTCCTCTGTGAGGACTTCGCATTCAGCAGTCAAAATTGCCTATTTCTTTCATTTTCTCTCTTGGTATATTCAACTAATGTGAGGCTATTTGTGCTTCTAAATTGGTTCTATTAATCAATCTTCCGTAGTCTGTCAATACAAAGCGAGATTCCAAAGGTCATAGATGAGAAGTTGGCGTCTAGATCGACATTACTGATTCAAAAGAGGTGCAAATTAAATAGCGGTTACATTTCGAAGAAAGGCAATAATCTCCATAGACGTGAGTTTTTAAGTGATAGTTGACCATGCATACGCATCCAAAGTAAAAAAACAAGTGCGACATCCAAAGGGATCTATCAACTCAAAAATCACTAACAGTCACTCGTGTGAACCGTGCCTGTCAACAGGGCCAATTGTTTGATAAATATTGTGACACCTGCAAACTTTACCCCGCTCTCTTGTAACTCACTTGCTATTGAAGGAAGTTCATAAACACCACGCACATTCTTTAGATAAATAAACGCGCGAAATCCTATTAAATTTATAAATATATACGGTTCGATTTTGGCCTGATTTTATTTACATCGATGAATAAGAATAATCTCAATTTCGTCGCATCTATTAATTATCCAAGAATATGAACTCGTCTGTGTGCTTGGAGGTCTATATTCTATAATCTGTAACTGATTTCAAACAATGTATTCAACCAAACAAGCATTTACTGCATTGGTAACATCTTAGCTATTAATGGCGAGTTACAGAAAGGAAGTTTCGAATAATGAGCTCCACGCCATTCCTCTGACATTACATCCTGCCTGAAGATCATAACAGTTGTTTGCGCCAACCAAAATATCCTAAACCTACACCCTTTAATTTTTCTTCTTGACTGATTGGGAATTTACAAAAAGGAAATTAAGACTTTGTCTAAATGAGAATGAGAATCGATTCTGACGCGTAATAAAACAACATTGCCTAACTTTCTGTCTGGCGAGATAGACTACTTCATCCATGAAACGGGATACCACCTACTAATGTCAATTACTGTAACACCGATGCCTCAAAAACTATACCCGATAGTTTTTCTCCTACGACTAACATAGTGCGTCCGGTATATCTCTGGATTGGTTGCTATTTTTGGCAGCTTCAGAACAACGTGAAGTATGAATGTAAAGCTATTCGGATTATGGGCTCTAACAACTTGTTTATTGTGCTCTACTAAATGTGTTGTAAAACAAATTCCATATTCTCAACGAAGAACTTCATTGTTTAAAAATGGAAGAAAATGAAAGATGTACGCTCACAATAGGCTTTTGAGACAATCAATAAGATTGGGTCAATATTCACTTACAATATTTGCTATTCGATGCTGCGTGCAATTTTTGAGAAAAGATTTTATAACGAAACAACGTGTCATTGATCGTTGAAATATGATCATTGAAAGACCAGACAAATGCAATGTTTACTTGATGCCAGTCATGTTATGGTGTATGCAATGAGCAAATTTTGCACCGATGAACATATTGATGTCAAGCAAGCACTACTGGGGCGACCACTGTGCGGAAGAGGAGGAGGAGGCGGTAGGCCGAGAAGGATAATTTTGGAAGATGAAGTCATAAGCTGAGGCACGTCATTTGACCGCATTTTATTAACAAACTTAGTCAGTCAGCCCATCATGCAAATCTTACCACTCAGTACAAGAAAAAAGGAAGAGGTGAACCCAAATACACACGTGCATGTACGAGCGCGTACCTTTGGTTTATTCTTCTTTGACGAGGGGAGAGTCTGGAAGATGGTGCCGCTGGGAGTGTTGGCGGTGGTAGCGGTGGAGACGGAAGGAGGACTGGTCACTGGTGCTTCAGCCAGACTGAGGGGTCGTCGATGATGGTTAGTAAAGGCGGAGGAATGAGGGCGATCGACGGCACCCAAACTAACCCGAGAGCGGGCCAAGTGGGTACTAGTCATATCGGAGGTGCCACCGATGGTCGTCACGCCGGAGGTGGACCCCCCGCTACCGAGGCTCAAGGATGTCGAGGCCGGATGCACGGGTGGGAGGTCTGCGAAACTGCCTCCATCGGCTACGGTAGGCAGATTCGCCTAAAAACACCCCATTTGTACACATCTAAACCGGAAACGCCAGCCTAATTTCCCATTTCTAAGTCGTATAAGGTATCTATTATTATTTGCTTTGTGTTAAATGAATGCAGACAAAAAAGATAATTAGAGATTATTATGAAGGTATGCTTCCATCTGAGCGACTCCAGATTTTCAGACTGTTGAAGAATTCATGGTCTTTTAATACTTAGTATAGTGGGAGGAGTTTTCAAATCTTATCAAAAAATATATTACCTTCAACTATACTAATGCAACCCTCAATTCGCCCGCAGTAGAACAGACGAATCAAAATTAACCAAGGAGAAATATTTAACTAGGGGTGAAAATTTCATAAGTAAAGTTTCGCTTAGAAAGGGGGACAATTAAAAAATTGTTAAAGTAATTTGGAAAGGAGTAGCATCTAAATACTCTAAAAGGACTTTAAGTGAAATCAAACTTTATGTGTAATTTAGAGACGAAATAAATTTATGGGGGGTGCGTTTTTAGATTATTTCAATAAAGCTCAGCAAGAGCAGTCATTGTGGCAGACATAAGAAATATAATTTCAACACACTGCCTCCAGATACTTAAACGCGTCAGCGAGTCAGAACTCTTCTTATTTCTCGCCTAAACAATTCCTTTAAAAAAACCCAAACTGAATAACTCATGCATTTTAAGCTGGCTAGACAGCAATATAAGTAAATCGCCTTCTTGAATAAGAGGTGTGATATTTCTTAAGCCAGTTGCAAATTCCAGAATCTTGCTATGCAAATGAGTATTCATTGCCCATCGGTAAAGATTGATAACACCTACACATGACACTGGAAATAAGTGTAGCCAGGTCAAGTTCTATAAACTGAACATTCTTTGACTATCGTATGATACTTTGTGGTGTAAACCAAGCGAAATGTACTTTGTCTAATGCAAATTGTTGCTAAAATACCTCATTCCATTCGAATAAGACACAACTCCGAATAGAAATTGCTATCATATGGAAGTAATTCACTAGGAATTGTATTCCTAATTGTAATTAGGAATACTCAAGTGGAGTGGAAGCTTGCAATGAACTAACCATGGCTCGGCGACCACGCCGTCTGTTTTTTCCTATTCCAAACAGATTGGGAGGAAAAACAGAATGTAGGAAAGTATATCCAATTCAGGGCTTGTCCAGAGAAAGCTATAAACACCAAAAGCGGCAGCTGGTTTGTTGGGCGATTGTAGCGACAAAATCTACAGTCCAATTGACGCTTTAGCAGTAAGGAGTGCGCCTTTCGCCTTTCGACGTAATCCTAGCAATCTATTGTCACCGCCAGCATAGGCATTGCCGCGCGGATGCCAATTGTGCATACACTGTGCACAGTTTGCGAAGGAGCCAATAAGCAAGAGAAATGCTTTGCCCTGATTGGTCCATTTCGCTAATTGGTGCGAATGTTATAAAGTACGCTGACTGGCACATACAAGGCGCGCTATTCGATTCGAGCAAAATGCTTAAGGGAGGTTGTAATAACTGGTGTAGTAGCTGTATCCGATTCTTGCCTTTACAGAGTGGCGCACCGGGAGCTTAAAATTCATTTACAGGACTCAATATTCTACCAAGATAAGACCACGACATGAAAGGTAAAATTGATGCGTCACTTTTGTACCCTCTTGCAATTTCAGGTATTTGCTTGAATAACGCTTAATGTTGGAAATTCTGGATAGCTTCTCATCGTTTCACTAATAATCCCTTTTCCACTAATCTTTCCAGCTTTATCAGATGTATTCTATGGACAGCAACTTTGTATGCATTTAATTTAATGTTCAGCTCAAAGTGTGTTCGTAGCAGAAGGGATCGTATATGCAGCTAAATGGATAGAATTGAATGCTTTAAGAAGACTTATCCGCTGAGCTGTTCAAAAAATAGTCGAATCAGCACATCAGCTCTTATCTAAAGCCCGACTATAACACTTTAGCTACTTCAGATAGGGTTCCCATGGTTTTTAGGTTCAGTTATAAGTCATAAACAAATGTGCACAAGTGTAATGCGTTGGTTGTTTGTTTAACTCCCGGTTTTTTAAAACAGGTCACTTAGGTGCTCCATCATTGTAAGCTAGCCTCCGGGCCATGTTAGTGGCCCCAAGCCCTACTCTGTCCTAAATGTTTGTATTCTATCCTACTATTATGTCCCCTTTTGTATCAAGGGAAATCTCAGGACACCACATAAACTCGTATGTATATGCATATACATGTAAATGAAGACATTGAAAATTCTAAGGCAGCGGGTAGCATCGAGCGTTTGGTGAGTATACCGAAATATGTTTTAGGCCTTCCTGATTGACGTGCACGTTTTATTCGAGTAAGTGTTTCTGCACTTCAAATTGCCTTTTTATTAAAGGTACTGCAAAATATGTAGGCGACCGTATGCAGAATCTAAAATTACAATAATCTATATGCTGACAAGTTCGTCATCATTGAAAATAGGCTTTGGTTTCATTCCTTGTATTGTCATACATGTTTTGTCGTGTAGTTATGGTTAGAAGCGATTTAGCTTGCACAACAAACAAATTTCATCTCAAAAATCGCACCAGTTTACAATGCTCATTTTCCAGAATTCACCATTTATTTTAGCTCAGAAAAAGTAAGTTGTGCTATTTCAATTTTGATGAAGGCTTGGGGATAAATTACACGTGATAATTAAGGTCATTAATATTAGGCAATAATTGTTTCATAATACTGATGCAAATGGCCCTGAAGGAGAATCTATTTGTGTAGTAAATGTGGGATATGTGTTAAATATTAGCAAATAAGTTACGTGGGATGATATACTTTCGTTTTAAATAATAAGCGTAAATAAATTTCACACAAAATTGGCTCTCCCCGCAGTCATAAAATTTGGGATTCAACTACACTACTAATTATGCAGAATTTGTGTGTCTTGTGCTCCGTGCAGTTGATTCTGGCAACCATCTACAAGGACTGCATAATAACTAGGGCACTTTTAAGTTCTGTTAGGCGAAAATAATTCAAAACAATTTAAGTCCATTTCCATGGTAAATGGAAATATCTCGGACTAAGACGTGACTTCTTTAAATTAAATACTTTACAAAAATTCCTGCAAGTTATGCTATTCTCGGGATTTTGTGTTCTATTTCAAGCTGTCTATTTCTACGAGATGGTTCGTGTTCTCAACGCAGCATTAGAAATATGATGAAAACCACTTCAAAAGTTACTTGAGAGAGGGTTAAGTAAATTCACTCCTCTATAAAACGCCTCTGTGAATGGCATTAGAGTAGTCGTGTAACACTCTTCAGGGTCCACACCTTGGGGATACTTAAGAGATACTTCTCAAAAAATGATATTTAAAGGCAAGCTTATCTGAAGCAAAACTTTGTCACTCCCTGTGGGCAATTGATGTAACTGGGTGAAAAAATTGTTTTTCTGCCGTTTAATTAGTGAGACAGTGATACAAAACGCAAGAATAAGTCAAGTGCAAGAGGCAGTTTTGAGACCTTTTCAGTCTGGATCTGCGTTTTGAGAAAGCCAATTTTCGATAACTAATGCGCATATTTACAAGTCACGCTTAAAAGCTCTTGGCCTACAATATGGTGTTAGTCTTAATCAGATCATTATCATAACCTCGAATACGGGAATGTTTGTGGTATTTGTTTTATTCAAAGCTAAGCTAAACTGTTTTTCTTTTAACGCCCCTAAAAAGCCATCAACAGACATGTTTGTACCATCTGTACGGATAATCCAGACACGCTAGTAGTGGAAGTAAAAGGATTTGGTTGATATCCTTTATCGTAGTCTTCGCTAATGATTTAAAGGAAACTTATACCTACACGCGTCAGCTGCTCATTGCAGCAAAGATGTCCAGATCCATAAAAGAGGCTTCAAGAACGTTCTGACGGCTAATCAGTTTAAAATGTTCAAATTTCCGAGTAGAGGTACAAGATCAGGGCTTAAAGGGCCATAATGATCCACGAAAAAAAACCAAAAACAGTGGTGCCCTCTACCATCATGGAAGCTGTAATTATTCCAGATTATCGGTTAAATGGTAGTAAATTAAAAATAAAGAAAAGAGAGTAAGACTTTAAGAGACACTAATGTATCTAACGTGTTTCATGAAATTAGTTCTGCTTCTATGCCAATTTCCCTACAAAAATCAAAAAGAATTTTAAATGTATTTGCCAAAGGGCGTGTCTCAGCACTCAAGAGTACTTACAAAATTTCTCCAACACAGTTAGCTAATGGGGAATATAAAGGGTAAATCTCACCGAAATCTATGTGAAGAATGGTCTTTGTAAAATTTAGGGTTATCTCAATGAGACAAATATGATTGTGCAATTTACTTTTGTTTCTTTCTGTTAACTTCATTCCCTTCAACTTTGAACATTGGATATGCGGACTGCAAAAGGGTTGAAGTTGTGCCAATACATGCTGCTCGCTTTATCACAAATGCGTGAGAATTACGCGTGATCTGACATCCATGAAGGTCGCTTCTAAGTGCTTATTCATTAAAATGAACCAAATTTCAAGCATAAGCAGCCACAAGAATACGGCAGTCGATTCACCCACACACCGGAGTAAAGGCAGAGTGCGTTGTTTAATCACTTTTTCCACGTTTCATACTAATAGAATTAACCTTGTATTGCTTTAATATCCTTAATCTGCCTTCTAATGCAGCTTTTGAAAGTTAGGCGAAGCGGAAAAAATGCTCCTTAAGCCAAATGAATAATTGAATTTGTCGCAAATGGCATCGAGATCAAACGAGTGCTTAAATCATACATTCTGAACGCCGCTTTGACCACGAATTACTTTTCTACCCTATCGTAAAACCCGAATGCCATTATTACGTTGCAGAAGGGCTAATCAAGGAAGTCAGGTAGTGATGCTTACACGAAACTTTAGATGATATAGCAATTTGAAAGATCACTTTTGTCGTAAAAAAAACAAAAATTACGCAGAAACATGACATTAATGGAAAAGACGAAAATCTCTCTATTTAAATCTGGTTTTAACGGTCTTGCACGACCCGCATAGCCTGAGAAGTTGTGTTGGCAACTGTGGAGCACTTCCTTTCATTCTGTTTTGCAGAATGTTTATTTTAAATGCCAATTTATGTATCGGAATTTGGATGGGTGGGTAGTCTACCGCAAGGCTTCAGCCAAGAACACGCGTTGCCTCTGTGAAAAGAGGCACTCCGGGATTGTTGTCTGGAAATCTTTCCAATTTTGCATAGCTTTGTGTTCCCCCAATGTTTAAACGAAAAATTCTCTGTTGAAAATATTCCCGCCATGCGCAATTCGAAGATAATCCTGACAAAATCCACGCCAGGCTTTGCACTCAATCAAAACGGTGAGCCGATGTGGAAAAAATTGCTATGCATAATAACCTTCTATGTTTGTAAACAAAGAGTGTTGAAATGTATCTCATTAATAAACTTTTACGCCAGTAAAATTCTCGGAAAAATAATAACATTAGTAGCTGAACTATGTCCAACGATAAATATTAGGAGAAATGGTTTCGATTGTGTGTGTTAAGAATAGAAACCAAATTGTATGTTGAATTGGAAAGTAAACTCATCCTAGCATACCTGACGACTTTTAGCAGTTCAGTGACAGCAAATCCTGTTGCATATTAAAAATTCATACCGAAAACGACTTCATAGCATTGCATAGTTTTGTAAAAAGCCAAGGAAAAGTCGATTTTAAGATAAATGACTGCAAAATCCAGATAAATTACAATTGATAGGATCTAAACATGTTTTAAAGCATCAAATATTGAAGTGAATTTTGTAACTTATTGGAACCGTTCATGTAACTATTTTGGAATGAAAATTTTTATTTGCGGGCCGTTATGACTTACAGTAAGCAACCTGGTACTGTGAAAAGTCTATTCGACAATTTGTGATCATTTATTCCTGAAGAATTTCATGACGTTATGAATTTATATGATTTCTTAGTGGTCAAATGTAATGATAATCCTTATCCATGAGGGGGGTTGGAGGTAAATCTTATTCTGTTTATAATTTTGTTAGAGAAGACCTAAGATTACAAGGACGGAGCCAACGATTAAATTGAGTTCTAAATATAATTCTAACTAATTCTAAAAACGTGTTATTTCGGTCAACACTAGCTTAGTACCTCGTTTTATGTTTAGTAGCAAACCCTGTTTTAGTACAGTGGGAAGTGGAGGTTGCTTTTGCCCCACAAGTGAGAATTTCTTCTTATGGAACACGACACCTACTCACAATCGCTAGATTTCATTTTCCTAAATAGCTAAATATTTATTCATGTCCTTTTTTACCCTTGCCTCAGTATTCGCGACTTTCAGGCAGCTGGCACTTTTAAAAACAGCATCTAACAGAAAAAAGGAGCGTGTTTACAAGTATGGTGAATTTGGTACTGTTGGCACTGACAGTTCGTTAGTGGGGGAAGAGTCGCACTTTAAAAGCCTAGTAAAGTACCATTCATTAATTAACCAAAATGGCGTATTTTCTGGACAAATTTTGTACTTGATTGCATTCAATTGAACCGTTTTTGAGCATAACTTTTCATAAATCAGGAATACAGTGTTATTTTCAGATTTCTTACATATGTAGATGACCATTTTATAAGATTGCAAAGGTGTTATAGGGCTTGGATTAGAAAACAACGGGCATAGGCATTACACTTTTGTAAGCATAATTGTCCGAAGCATCCGCGTACCATTTGTGTCATTTGATTGTCTAAAGATTGCTTAAAGTTATAGTAAGAAAAATTGATATGTGAGTTCAGTACTTATGCTATGCTGTTAAACTTGCTTCACGCACCTACATCGTCAAAAGCAGAAAAGATATTTTCTCAAAGCTAGAGTGTTGGCAGTGGCAATAAAGATTAGTATTGTTATAACAATATTGACGAAAGACAGTATTAAGTAGTTTCACATACTCCTCTCTCTCTACACCTGTACACGCAATCCAAAGGATGAGGATGGTGTGTCTAAAGAAAGTCAATAAAAGCAATGGTGGAAGAGGAGGAAGGAGAGGATCCAGGTGTGATAGGGGTAGGAGAGGTGAAGTAATCAACTCCTCTTCCACGCGAGCACGTGTGCGTGATGAAGCGAAATAGTTGTACGTGATAACAACAAGTGAGTTGTGGTGCTGGCAGTAGTGGCGGTGGCGGCGGCAGCAACAGCGGCAGTGACGGTAAGGTGTGAACGAGAGGGGGGCGGTGAGGAATTAGTGTATAAGGTGGGGGGTGGTGTGGGCTGAGCCTCAACTTACATCCTCGTCGGCCCAGTCGTACCCACCGGAGCTAGAGCCCCGAGCTCCACCGCCACTGCCGCTACCACCGTGCACCGTTTCATCGCCGTCCGTGTCAGTGCGGCCGGAGTAAGAGGGTGGGGATAAGGACTGCTCACGGTGAAAGCCGTTGTTGGGTCTGCGACGATTAACTGCTGCCGCTGTGCCTCCGCCACTACTGCCTCCTATCGTATCCCGATGTAATCGACGTTTCTGGTAGCGACGATGGATTGGCTGATTCGCCTCAACCTCTTCGCCTGCTGTGGACGCCAGATATCTCCTCGATGGGCGCATTCGACGCAGCATGAAGCAAACTGTCGCCTTGGCTGTAGTCAACAGTTCGCATTACCTCATTCAAGTTTAATTGACGTTGTACAAAAATGTCCTTAATTGTCTTGTAGAATACAGATCATTTGCATCAATAATGCCTTACGTGGGTCTTAATTGTTTTCGACATCGCTACGGTCCTCATCTATCCACCATAAAAAAGAAATATGAAACCGAAATATCTTGCATATTAAGCCAACACTGTTAGCAACGGCGATGTTACGAGCTGACAACCGTTTTTTTCTAAACTACAAACCGACTGAAGTGCATGCATTTCTTTCGATACCTTCGAATTATTTTACTTCAACAACAGTTGATATACTTTCCAACCAACAATCCTTTATTGATTTGGGGCAAACATTCACATTTTAAAATGCATTAAAAATTTTCAGAAGTTGTACTTTTTGATTATTTTGCTCTACTTAACTAAGTGGTCCTGACGCAAGATACGAACATCGGCGTATTCTTGAAACTACCTTCTGTCAAATTTAAGCTAATGCGTACAACATACCGCAAGGAAATGCTCTTCACAAAAACGACAGCAAAATGTCCTCCAGAGCTTAAGTGAGTAAGTAGGATTGTTTGGAGTAACGTATTCGCTTTTTCATTTTAAATCTATTAATAGCACTTTGCTGCTTCGTGCTAGTTCCGCCGCACCGACCGAAATACATACCAAAGGATTTGCTTATTTTAAATGCATTACAAACACGTTGTCACTAAAACAATGGCATTTGGATATGAGCATAGTTTGTAAACAATTTGCAGAGGCATAGGTTTAAAACCTAATAATAGTATCTTAGTCTGGATTTATAAATACTAATCATTAACTTCTCTAGTGGAATGATGAAATTTGGTTGAAAGCACATTTTTGTGGTAAGTCGACCATTCAAGTGATTAAAATACACATAGATCTTTTTGTTTCCCAACTACTGATAAAATGAAATTGAGAATTTCGAATTTATTTAGGCTACTTCCTAAAATGGTTCTATTCTTGGAATAAAGCATATGACTAGAAGTGGTCAAGAATTGCATTCAAAGATGGTCGGCACACCATGTTTTTAGGTAAGTACCATTAAGATTTACTAATTTATCAGCCTGGAATAGGGTAGGAAAACTTGGTTGTTCAAAGCCAGTCGGATGGCGATCATTGTATGGATAGAATAAATAGGGTTATCTAGAATAAGGTAAAATTAAAAAAATATATAAAATACTACTTAAATATATTGTATAGGCTTTTACACATACCTCTAATTCGCTCAACTACCTCCTGATGATCCATTTCCTCAACATTAACACCGTTAACCTGTAAATTAGTGTAAAGAAATTCAAGCCAATTGTTACCTATTGGTTGCAATAAAGGTTGAATGTTAGGTATTAGCAGATCATATAAAGAAAGTGAATTATCCGCAAGATATACCAAACACAGCTGCAAATATCAATGCACTGAATTTAGTTAATTCAGCAACACCAAGTGAAATTCTCCGTTAGGAGAAAAATAAGAGCTGGATACGGCTAAATGTTATAACACACCTTCACGATTTCATCCCCGGGTCTCAGTCCAGCCCGTTCAGCCGTTCCGCCTAAAATGGGAAACTTCCGACCTTAAAAATAAGACTCTCGCCTTATATTCAAAATTTGAACGTTGTGAACGTCTACTTACAAGCATAACCTTTAGCTGAAAACAGGTTTTTCGTAAAATTCAAAAGAGCTGGAAACCGTGCAGTAGAGTGATGTTTCTTGAAGGCGACATTTTAATTGCAAACTATGCTTCATAAGGTCAACTACGGAAACATGACACCCAATGTCGTCAAAGGTTCTTCATATACGCCTAAAAGTATTGCTTATAATTTCTATCTAGTGTAAATTTCTATATTCGTGGAATGTAATAATGGAGATCTTTTCATGTTTGTGTGTCCATCAAATGATTTACTACACAGTCATGTAGGATATTGGTGTCAATCAGCTTGATCATATCTGAAAACCTTTGACGTACAACTAGAAATACACATAAAAGACGCATGAGGACCGTGTTTTTTTCTTTTAGTAGGCTTTCCAGAAAAACTACCTCATCCTACTGAAACTTCATTATTATTATTATTATTATTATTATTATTATCGAAATCGGAAAGTCTCGGACACATTTGAAAAGGCCCCGAAGGGATAATTTTGTGACTAGAATTGCGCTGCACTTTGAATGGGGTAGCTTAATGAATGGTTATGCTAGCGCCAAGGGTAGTGGCATCTCCCAATTTACCAAAACAGGCATATCGAATGGGAAAATGTGTGTGGGTGTGTGTGCAAGTGTGACCTTTCCTTAGTGGAAGCGACATGCAGACTACGGATCTGGGTGCGTAGCCAAAGGACAGGCGTGTTATTGACAGGAAGGCGCATGATCCTTACCCTCTGTACACTAGGGAAACCAAATGCCCACAATGTACACGCAGCATGGAAGCTCCAGCCCTAAGGAATTTTTATCAGATAGGTGCTATTCTTCCCCACCTTTTTGATATTTCTAGTTAACCAACTTACGGACATTGCCATAGTCCCAGTATGGAAGAAATTATCTTTTTTTTATGCAGAGACCGCACAGGTCCTCCATATCCATACTGAGTGTTATTTTTCATTTTCACAACTTCTTGCGTCATTTCTTGAGACTAATGCTTACTGCAAAATTAGCATAGTTAGCATACTAGTTATGGGATCTAATATATGAGATGAATAACACTTATTCTCTGTAGGGAACAAAATGAACATCATTATTTAGTCTTGTTTTTAATAAGGTCCCTCGAATCGTCAATACCTTAGGCATAGGATTAGTGATCCCTAGTGCTTATGTTGGATTTTGAACGCATATTATTGTTAATAAGTTTCGATCAAATAGCTCACATACACAACATGGGCTGATGGTTGATAAGTTTTATAAAAGTACTCCTTCTTTTTGCTTCGTTACCTTTTAAAATGCATACTTTGGCACTTCTATAATCTAAACTGAGGTGCCGTTTTAAAGTTAATCATTTGATTGCTCTTTTCTCGAGAAACACCAACGAAAATCTGTGTCGAACTTTAAGGGATTCTTTTTATTAAAGCCATGTCAAAAACCTTGGGCTCTTTTTTGCAGCAACTCAGACTGGCAATGCGCTGCTGAACCGGGTCAGTGTGCGCGAAAGCTCAACTCCACTTATAATGAAAACTATAGCGATTTCACTATAGCAACAAAAATTATACTGCCTTTTTCTGACTGGTTATTTGCATTACACTTCATTTGATTGTTCAACTTACGTCACATGTAATAGCTGCAGCAAACTTCCTATCTTTCATTGGCATTTAAAAAGTTGTGGTGTTAGAAAGTGCACAATGTAAAGATAATTTTAAACTATTTTTGACCTTGGATAATTTATTGAAGATGTCAGTAGTATGCGTACAATGGTAAGAAACATCCGATACTACTTAATATAACCTCAAAATGACTCATTGACCTCTCAGAATAGCAATACTAAATGTCCAGTTGTCACTCGAGGATGGAGCTCCAGCAGACGAATAAAACAAATTAAAAATATTGCATTAATGGTTTATGCGGAACCTTCAGTGGCGCCCGACTACGATATAAAAATAAAAAAGTTGGGGAAGAAAAAGGCACCACCCAACTTGTCGGACCAACTTCCTTGATAAACCATTAGTGCATATACAGAAGTGCACGACCAAATATCGTCACCTTTGTTTATGAGTTACAGCTATTTCTAACCCCTCTACCGACCAAGGTTAGCCACGGACCAGAAATTAATCAGGTCCTGTCAGTTCTGAATGAAGCTGGGCTTTATCGTTAGGTCATACCTTGTCATTGGCTAGTACTGGGCGTCCCAAGTGGCTGTCTTGGGCGAGGACATCACCAACACGTGGATTTGTTCTGCAGCTACCCGCACGATCAGTTCGTGTGCGAGTCCCAACATTTGACATAATCATCAAGCCCCTCTGCAACTTAGGCTTACGTTCTAATGATGTTTCGTAATTTTTGGAAAACTTAAATAACCAGTATAAATTTCATCTTTATGGCGATGTCCACATCAGCTTTTGGGGACGCGGTGAACAAATAATATCGATGTTGGGGAATTCATTTAAAAAGGTTCTTTTAAAATCATCAATATACATTTTGATCAGTGGGTAAAATAATGGAGATTTCATACACCTCATTAACAAATAGTTAAGGTGCGGTTTAACAGTAAAAATTTAGAAACGTTTTTAAGAAACTGACATCTCACCTTCACGAATATTCCGCACAGTGACAGGGTTAGTACCGCACACAGTCAACCCATAGCCCGCATGATCCCTACGCACAATGGTCCGAAAGTAGACTGGAGATGTGGGAATCACAGTCTCGGTGGCTGCGTCCAACTTATCGATCACCGTAGTCACGACGTCGCCCTCCCCTTCCCTTCCCAGCTCCTGTTGCCGCGTTTGCTGGTGATGATAGCGGTGTTGAGGCGCTGGCTGAAGTGTGGGTGTCTGCGACGGTGATGCGAGAATTTCTTCACGGCTCGGTGAAAGCGAGACGGAAGATCTTGCGGTCTCGTAGACTGACGTCGACGTGCTGTGTAAATCTTCGTCTTCCTGTATTGTCAGTTCATGCTCGTCCGACAGAACCGAATGGTAAGCGGGAGGTGGACTGCCCGGTGGGTGATCAGAGGTGGTGAGCACTTGTGGAGTTAGCTGCTGCTCTTGTGATGTAGTGGTGGGTGTCTTTTGCATCGGGTTGAGAAGTGAACTGTTGGATACATTAAGAGGGAGACTGGAGGACTCCATTATGGATACCCGCTGCTGGACGGAGTTCCGTTTCTGGTTTTCTTCGCTTGCCACCTCAAGGGACCTCGCCTTTTCAACAGGTCGTAGAGGTGGAATGCTTTGTCTGAATAAAAAAGCTTGCACTCTGCAAACCTAATTCGCACTCGAGTTAGACCCTAACTCATTGTTGAGACTGCCACAAATAACACACTTTTAAGAAATATGCATTTTATTTCAGCTAATACTGAAATTTTGAACAAAATTTTCATATCTGCAGTTTTCCTTACAGAACGGCTGTTGTTTGTGTTCAAGTAGGGAGCAGCGATGATAAAGATGAATGATTTTTAAAATACCAACTTTCTTTACTAGACTGCTCATAATCTACCAACTCCTGTAGATATAGGTTGCATAAAAAACAACTGTGTGAACATTATTTTGTCGAAATCCCGCATTGCACTGTCACCCCTGAATCGTACCTACACTTAATCAACATCTGCATGAAATCAAAATAAAAGCAGTGAATCTATTTTCACTTCAGTCCAGGTCTACTTTTTTTGAACACTATAGTATTTTATTAATCCTTCAAATAACATTGTTTACCAAATAGCTGCAGTCATATGCTGTAAGCATAAACAAGCATGTCAAACGGTAGCATTGCGGAAAATTCACGTTGTTGCCAGTTTGTCTAGAGCAGAAAAGGTGCTATCAAGCTTACAAAGTAGGATTAACTTGTTGACTAATTAAAGTAGTCTGAACTGGGCTGTCTATTTATCAGCAATAATTGTTTCGTAATTTGATTTGGCTATTTAAATTGAGAAAGGTTATCTTCTGAAACAATTTTTTACTTCATCAACTTACCCAAGTTTTGACAACAAGATTATCCAAAAAGTCAACATTTTTTTCGCATGATCTCATTGGATTATGTACTGCAAAAGTAGGCTGCTGCATTTACCCTAACATGTCCAAGGGTAATGATAAGTGAAGTTAAAGCAAATTTCTGCGTAAACCGAAGATTATTAGCGGAGTGTAAGAGGTCATCAGGTATCCTCCAGGTAGGTATCTGTCGTATTCGATTTGATGGAAAATATGCATGCAAAATAGATCGCGAAGTCAACTTGGTTCTGCATGCATAATTTATGCTACGTGACTGAAAAGACAGTGAAGTATACAAACACACAGGCGCAAGCTCAGGCACTCGTCTGACTCAGTGGCGCTGACTTGACTGGGACGCCTCCAACCCTGTTTGACAAGAGCTACAGGCGGATGCAAGTTATTAAGGTCACTTTCATTGTTAACATCTTACAAATAAGCAACGAAACTTAGCTCATTTGCTGAAGATGAAAATAGAAAACCATTTTTTCGAGCATCTAATGTGATAACGATCACCAATTTTTTGTTAATATCAACGTGGTCCACTGAAAAATACAAAATACAAATAGCCGAACTTTCAAAGCGAATTCACATGGAACAGTAAACATTGGAATTAGTTGTTAGCACTAACCCAAAAGTACTGGATATGAAGAAGAGGGTCTTTCCTTGCACCTTTATTAGTGGATATTGTGATTTATACACTGTACAATATTGCATAGAAGTGGGAAAAATGGCAATCCATCTAAACTTCACGAATGATCCCTACAACAGATTCTCATACGTTTTTCTTAGCATACTCAGGAAGCCATTGTTTTCATTACCATTGCTTTGAATCTGTATTTAAATGGTCCCACATTCCTAAGTGTTGAAAGTGATATTTGCCAGTAACTTTTTTTAACACCCATGTACTGAATTGACAGACCATTCAAAAAGTAGTTAAGCAGTAAAATCTAGACTGCTAGAATTCAATGTGTACTACGTAGACGGAAGATAGTTTTCTTATCCAAGCGAAACTAGCGAATTCCCTCCTTGCACCATAAGACCAGGACATTTATTTCTTGGGCGTCCTTTCATATAGCATTTTATAAATAGACTACGTTATTTCAGATTGTAATGTGTGGCAAGTTATCTTGTTGAAAACTTCTAGTGTAAGCTATGTATCCGCTAAACTCCCTTGTATTTTATTCGTAAACTCCCTTTCCAGGCATGGTTGAATTACACCAAAATTATGCAGTAAAATTAAGTCGCTGGCACAGTCAAATTGCCGAAAGGTTGCATATTTCTTAATTATTACAACTATTCTATGCAACAGTGTATACATACGGAAAATCAACTTACTTTGAAATTCCAAGCAGATGTCTTATATTTCCTTTGGTCATTTATGCCTTTGAATTAATCCAATTGTTCATGCATTTGGGTGGGTAGGAGTAGTGTAGTCCAAAAGCACATTTTATATGGATAACTGAAAGAATACACACCAGTTTGCGCACCAGGTTTCGCCCCGCAGTAACTTGCGTGAATAAATTAACAGCATCACACCCGAGTGGGCACTCACCCAATGATTGCGGGCTCTCGTGCCCATGTGCTCGCATGTGTGTCTGCATGTGTAAGTGAAAGCGCATTTTCGGGCCAATGACTACTCAACTTCACACACCAAAAGGCTGACATCTGGACAACAACTTCATGCCCACAGTCGAATCGAAACCGTGAGCGTAGGAAGGTGCATCCACTTGGTCCTTTTTCATCGGTCCAGTCACTCAGATTAGGCAAACGCTCTCCTCGTTTAAATCACCCACAGAATCACTTAACTCAATTTCTCTATAATAACTGCTATAATAGCTGCAAGGAAAGGCGTTACTATAGCCAACTAACCTTCTATTACTTACAGTTCAGTGTGGTTACATGTTATTGCAAAACGAAGGTGGATCACTTACCGACATGCCACACTTTTCCCACCCTACCCCTTATAATTAAGTGTGAATGTACCTCCTTAAGTGGTGTAAAAATGGCATTCAATTTAAATCGGCTAATTTTTTAGTAAGATTTGTGATCGTGTAATAATACCCTGGTGAACCATTTCAGAATTTGGAAATCGGTTTGGAATGAAATCTGTTTATGAAAGTGAAGGAACTTCACTGTAATTACTCTGTGGGAAACCCGAAAAAAACCAACGTGATTTATAAAAGCTGAAGAATTAAAGAGGTCATCAAGATGCGTAACAGGGCCATAATAGGAAAGATAATGAAGCAAAGCGGATGTATAAACCACTTTAATGCACTTCTACGTAGACGTTACATTTTGTGCTCAACAAATTCTTAAAATTACTGCATAAATAAGCATCGCTGATAGAAGCCGATCCAAATGGATGGTGAGACAAAATTTAGAAATAGTAGTAGTAGTAGTAGTCTAACATTCGGTCAGTTGATCATAATGACTTGTAACACCAAATTATGCGTAATGTGACGTACTGTCAAATTTTCGTTAAATATGTCATTTATTGATAGTTTACTGTTGGGTTCTGTACGTCTCAAAAGCGAAAAATACATAGGTAAAATGAAATACAATTCAAACATGATCACTGAAATTAGATTTGCCCTGTGGTAACTGCGCAGTACGTACTGTATATATACGCTTAATTCATTTTCCTTATCTTGTATGTGGGTTTACTGTTAAAACAGGCTAGCTAAGTTATAAAGAGGGCCTAAGTTGAAGCGCTACAATCGTGATGTATAATTGTGTAAACTTTTCAAGATTGATTTATGCAAATTAAATCAAAATGAATATACCCAAATGCCTAACAGGTTTTTTTTTGTTGTATGATCTATGTGAGTTCCCACCCCAGTCATTTTTAACAATAACTGCATCTTCTTTGTATGTAAAGTAGTTCAGTTTCAATTGGCTGAGTCATCCAAAGTTCTCTGGTTATATACCAAAGTGGTGCAGAGAAGAAAAGCATGGATTATAAGCATACTTTATTAAGGTCCAAAGCTTTAATGAATAAATACAAGATGCAGAACTTTTAGGAAGGTTCCGAGTGTGACGAACAGAGACTTAGGCCTTAGCATTAATGCTATGATGCCTGTTTGAGGTATATATAAACACGATTAAAGGACATTTACACCTTCAGTGCGTCGGTCAAGGAGTCTTAATTTAAGGCGCGTAAAACCCTCTTATGACCTCGATTTTAATGTGACCCAAATCACCTCGCCCTTAGCTGCATTCTAGTGTAAACATGTCTCATTGATCAAAAGTATCAACGTGTTCTCAGTCCACAAAAGGCAGTGCCATCAAGCACTTACTGTCCCGCTTTTTTATGTGACAATCGTTCCATGAAATAAATAAATAGACGAAAATTTGGGCTTATGAAATCAAACGGGAAAGCGACTAACTTCACATGCAAATTTATACAAACATGGGACTCACACTAATTGGTCCTCGTCGGCTTGTTCCATGAGACTGTATTGCGTAGTCGGGAAATGAGGACCGATGGTGCGCTTAAGAGCAGTCAGATTTGCTTGTCTCATAAGTGTCTGAGACATTTGCCGTGGTAAACGTAGACTGCCTGATGTTTTCAGCACCTCAATAACCCTCGCAGCAGTCCCGGTGCTAGCTGAAGATAGGTCGCTGAAAAGTAGAGTGGAGCTTTCTGGTTCAGATGCCTGCTTTTTAAGACAAGATCTTCCGGCTCGTGCGAGGGGCGTTCTTCCATCGCTTGCAGTTATTAGGGGTACGCGATGGCCGTGTTTCACTACATGAGATGGCAGGACGCCGACCAGAGTCACCGAAGGCGAAGGAAGCGATTTTCCAGAAATGTTATATCTCTTTATTGGAAAGTAGGGTTTACTTTGAGGCCCGGTAATAGAAGAAAAGGATCCGGAAGCACTGGTTACGGTCAAGCTAGTCGTCGGATAGATAATTTCTTCCGTGACTATGATTCTCTCTCGTGACCAGGATCGAAGAAATTCCTTTTTGTGGTGTTGTGTCTGCAGTATCGCCTTGTTGTCCACAGACTGAGGTTTTCTTCGCACCTCTAAGGTATCACGCATGATTTGCTGAATGGTGAACACCTCTTTGACATCACGCATGCATGTGGAGGAGCTGGACTTAAGTCTGGGAGAGAGGTAGCCCGAACTGGTGAACGGAGACAATCCGTTATCTTGAGAAGCGTAGCGGTTAGCTAGAGGTCGTTGCTCTTGACCCGACGTCCTCGGTTCATTACTATACTGGCGCACAATAAGTGAGGGGGCGGTGACGGTTCTTGTGGCCTTTTTCCCTAGGGAAATGCGATGCAAATTTTCTGCTGGCGAAACTGTAGTCATTCGAAAGTATTACATCGAATTTGCATTATTTACACATTGACAAATTTACATGCAGGTTGGTCACGGGGCATAGCAAATAGGCACGGCCGCATACGTGTCCTGTACTGGGGAATGGGATGTGCACACACCTACATCGGCGTTGGATACCTGCCAGGCTGGGACACGGAAGCGCCTACAACCAATGGAGACGCAAGATAGCATAGCCAATAGAGCGAAGGGAAGAAAGCGTACGTGCGTAAGATCACAGTTGAATTCGCAGGCACAATGGGCTCCTTGTGGATGCAAAATGTATCTGCGTGCATCATCACCCTCCTTCCGTTTACTGCCAACACAAGTATGTGCGCTGATGTCCCAAACTGCTGGATACTAACACGCAAAGAAAAGCAAGATCGTTTTGGCACTTTGTGAACGATGAAAATACTAAACAAGCGAAAGTAAGCGGAGGTAAATGAATCGTATTAAACATAGGACCTCGTTTTTGCCAAAATTCTGGCACTATGCTGTAATCAATGACTAGTTGTGTGATTATCAAAATATTCATAACTTCTGATGCTCCCAAGTTTACCCAAGGTCCGTTGATAAGATCCTCTTTAAAAAAAGTACAGGAAACAACTTATTGCACCTGTCTAAAAAAGCAGGATTCTGGAATCGCTGTCTTTCAACGATCCCGCGTGTATTACACCTTGCACCTGGTATCAAGATAAGGTTTAGGTCTTAATTTTGTTTAAGCTTAGTGGGTTTAATAAAAATTGATCTGAATTACAGCTGTTTCGCAAATGTCTGATAGAAATGTGTTCGACTCTTGATGCCCAATTCGTGAGTTTATTTAACTACTCACGTTCCATTTTCAAACCGATCATTTGAGCGAGAATAGGCGAGGAATATGTCAAATTCAGAATTGTCAAATTGCATTTGCAATTATTGAGGACACCGAATATTTGAGGGAAACGGAGCATTGTTGGTGATTCTATTCGTGAATTTTTGTGGTATTGTACCAAAGAAAAGGATCAGCGCTTACCCAATTGTTCGCGCATTTACACTATTGTGATAAATGTCAACCAGCACTTAGTAAAATTTGCCTGAGGCAAAAGGGTCGGCAAAAACAAAAGCAAGCAGGTTTTAAAAAAAGTGCTTTTTGTACCCCAATGTTATGTTACTTCAGTTGTAGGTTTCTGCGTTTTAACTTATTTTAATATACAAATCTTGCAATCACAAGCTAATTTGCAGCAAACCTTTGTCATTCGTGTAAATTAACAGAGAATCAAACTTATCGTCTTTCAATGGGGAGATAAATGTATGTGCAGATACACACGCGTGGGCATGCTTAAACCTCCTTAAAACAAATGGTGGCCTGTTTTTGACGTTAAAGCTTCGCATACTTCTGGTCGGTCAAATGAAGGCTGTTTAAACTGAATGCCACATTCCCAAGTTCCAGGCAGACAAAGTGTGTGTCAGTTCACGTGGATTACGGTAAGATGGGAACACTCAAGCACATTTTTTGAGCGGAATTACTTTTGGAATTTCCACATATCAGTAAAAATCTGCAGAATTCGAACAAATTCTTTTTGTTATTTATGATGTAGTGTTGTCAAACCTACTAATGAATTGTACCTTGGAACAAATAAAATACACTTAATAAAAAACATGGAAGATGGTCCACCTGTGGAGTTTGAATGAAGCCCGGCATTCACAAAATATAGTGATGAAATACTACAGTTACAGAATTGCTGAACTACTCTAGAAATATGCCGACAGAACTCAAAGTAGTAATTAAAATTGCGAGTGCAACTTTAAAGATTAACATTTTTCGGTTCTCTCTACCATCTTCCTCAATCGGCGAAACATGAATATCACACTAAAAGCTCCGTTTGGTCATCTGCCCAGGCCGCTGCATAAAGCGGACCACAATTCTGCGCCAAAGAGTTGAATTTTGGCCACTTCGAAACTGTAGTGCACTTAAACAGTAAAAAGGTCATGGTCTTAGAATTGGGAAAAACAACTGCATTCTTTAAAAGTCTAGAATACCCTTTTTGATTTGCTACTGTGGAATAAAAGAATATGAAGTGTTCAAAATGTTTAAAATACGGTTAAAAATCAAGTACCTCAATTATTCTCCCATTTTTGTGCATCCCAGACCAAGAAAAAACAACCTTATTGAAACAACTTTTGCACCTTATTTTACTTTAAACAATACAGAACATTAAATATCGCACTAAGGCCTTAATTACATACCTATGAAATCAGATATATTTGTGTTGAATTTAGAGTAACTTGTCCTTTTGCAAAATGAGTCGCGACACTCATCCAAAAGCACATCAATAGAATAATATGCATATGTTTCAGTTCAAAACAACACAGCACGCAGTTTTCAAAATCTCTATATATTCTTAGATGTCTTAATAAAAAACGTACTATGGTACATAAATTAAAAGAACAATCGACTGAAACTAGTTCATGTCGTAGTAAGGTGGAGTCCGCGACTATCCGAGTAAGGAATTCTTAGCTATGTGGTAATACCTGCGGGTTTTACTTGCAGCAGATATGCAAATTTTAAGCCTCGTGGTTTTCTTCCAAACTGCCGATTTTGCTCATCTACTAATATATTTTCAAGCCCAAAAAATTGGGGACGAAAAGGTATTCTGTAATAAATGCTTTCCAGATGGCAGAAGTACAAAAGTGGCTTGTTTAAACGACATTTGGTGCCGGTTTAATGGCAAATAATTTAGTCAGGAAGGAAAACACAAAATGAAGTCTAACAAGGGGCAGCAAATATGAGTACTTTTTGTGTTTGTAGCTGTCACATTTGAAGTTAGCAGTGCAAAATTAAATCATGGCATTATTTAGTAGGCACCACATTATTAGCACATCGTGTGATTTTGTCAAATTCAAAATGTATTCATCTAGGGTTTACTTAATGACAGGCACATGTGGCATAAAATAAGCAACTACACTTTGATAATTTAAAAGTTTCCCACAAATAAGCTCAATTCTTCGTATTTTAGAGATGTAGCCTTCTAATTAATGATAAACAGTATCCAAATAATTGAATAACAAATTTCCGGAAAATATGATAACTTGGCCATTTTAAACGGGAAAGTTCGAGTAAATCAAAACAAATACCATATACTGTTAGTCCAATCTTTTGGGCGAAAGACACATTAGCTACATGGATTATTCCAAGCACAAAGTGCATAGAACTATATCTATCACATGAGATATGGCTTAACCCACGGTAGAACCATGTAACCTTGCTTAAATAAAACTCTGTGCAATTGGAAAAAAAGCCATTTACCACCAAATATATGAAATTTATTATGTATACCCATCGAAGTGGTCTATGAAAATGGGCTATTTTGCACTATTAACTTCTGCCATTTCTAACTGCAATTCTTGCTGTTTTGACATAATCGCTATAATTTTACTATTCACACTAATGCCTCGGCATTGCCACCAACATCACCTGGATAACATGGAGTGATTATGGTGAGCATTACCAATCTTTTGAATACTGCAGCCAGCGCATTAGACTGTGTTATGTAGCGATTAGAGGTGTTGAGCCAAATTCATGCCTTTGATGTTTCACAAATTAATTGTGACATATGATTCTGCGAACCGCTGACAGATTAGAACCCAATTTGTGACAAAAAAGTCAACGCTGGTTGGTCAATACCAGTATTGCTAACGCCTATTACTATTGGCCACTTCCTCTCTGTAGGCATGGGAAGCTGCTGCAGAAGAAAAACGCTCTGCTTTTACATAAAACTAAACATTTCATCCAACGTCTTCTCGCGAATTAGCTGCTGAATCATGTGAATGTTGTCTAAATCTCTCTGCTACTGCATACCTTGCCTGTCCTATGAGATACTACTAGTGAAAAGCGTAAAACCTATAGTAACTGATACCGAGCTCCCTTCACCACGAGGTAGGCTGGCACAGCAGGGCTGGCTTATCAGACTGGAAATTAAACAATATTTGGGTTCCATGGATACATACATCGGATAAATTCCTATACTTGTTATACATTTCAAACCACCGCGACGGCTTCGTCTCAGCCGCACACAGGATAATTCGCAAAAGACATTAAACAAAGTAGCTGAATGAATTAGAACGAGTCAGCCTGAAAGACTTTTTTTGACGAAGCTGTTGCTAGCGAAACAAGTGATCGCGCCTAGACATCCCTATAGAATATTGTTCTGCTTAGCTGAAGCATGCCCATTAAGAGAGGAGTGGAATGTACCTGAGACGCTCTTTTGGATGAATCCCCCTTCATCGAATGCGTTCTTCTGGTCTCAGGTGAACTGAGAGCAGCTCTGTGTGCTATTACGGTGGCTTGACCATTGCTAATTTTGCCATGAACAATCTCTTTCTTATTATCTTCTTTATGGGTCTAAGTGGGACACCAATTAGTATTAATGGTTGGCGTATTTGCCTTTAACTAACTTGGAAGCTTCATCTCCTAGGTCGCTTTTGCTATTCCTTCAGTTGTGACTGTACTTGTTAATAGCAAACACAATGATAATCAGCATTGGAAAGTTAATTATTACTGTTTAATATACATTCGTCTTCTTCATACAGCTGAATTCTTTCCTGCAACATTGAGAAGCATGGAACTATTTTCACCATTTTTGACTTGCCCTCGTTCATAAACCAATTGCGCTCAATTCAAGCATGCCTAACAGGTGGGTGTCTATGATACAGTGAATTTCATTGCCCCATTCTAGTTCACCTTCAGACAAACGCAATCAAGTGTGCACTGAACCAATCAGTCGGGATGAATCTCCACGTCGAGGAAAGGCGAAGCAATGGATCAAATCCATGCATCCACAAGCATCCTACCTCATATCATTAAGCAATGTGAAATGTGAGAATGTTGGAAATGTCAGCACGGTGATTTGTAATGATTACTTACTCTCGATGAGTTTAAGTGTTTACCTAGGCAATGAGAAAGCTGAAAAATACTTGCATCTTTTAGCAACAAAAATCTAAGGAGGTTTGAAAAGCATTTATTTGTACCCCTCTTATGCAAGACATACAAGTTGCCAATGCCTAAAATCATAAGAAAATCTGGGAATCCTAGGTATTGAGAAAGCATCATTGAGAATGCGTCTTCAGTTTAAAAATCTTTTTGCTAAGCTTCTTCTAAGTAATTTATTGGACATTTTTTTAGGTAATATCATTTGGAAGATTCAACGAAGGCAAACTTTATTTATAGCACTTCACCTGGTTTTCATCACTACTGGCAAGCATGACCTATGCCATTTGCACTAAGTAGGTTGTTTCTGTAATGGACCAGGTGATTAAAGGGCTGTAAACGCCACCTTCCAATCCGGAATATGGCTAGGCGGATAAATCTCAGTTGCCACATTGTACCCATAGAGAGGTTTCATGGATATGCATATGAATAATTCCGCCCAACTTAAAAAGTCGGTCACTGGAAGGAGTCTCGGTAGGACTCTGTTTCACAAAAGATTTCTTTCATAACGGCAAGTTGCATTTAATTAATAGTGCCAACTTTATCTGTATCTATAAAAGCAAACAGGAAAATAATTGCTTTAATGTTCCATCGCGCCCATTTTGAAATTGAAAGAATCTCTTTAAAGGCTAGCATAGCCGACAAATGTCCAAGATGTTAAAAAAAATTTTCATAATTACTCTATGATACAATGTGTTCGACTCATGCATGATGCAACATGAACGCTCGAAAATTGACTTTCACCTCATTCGAACAAAACTTGATCACTTTGGCTGCCTTTCGTCCTTAAGCTACTTAGTAAGTATACGACCTGACACCTTTGGACTCACGTGCCTTATATTGTCCTCAGGGAGGCCGTGACACCACTTTGAATATATTAAGGTTGATGCATTTCCTGTCTGCTAGGCTCTGTACCATGGCCGGAACTACACTCTCCAGAGCCGTCAGTGATAAACAAGTGATTAAAATATGGCAATAAAAGGGTGATCGAAATGGCAAAATATGGTACCTCCTCATGATATCCAGTGCCAAGAATAACATAGTGGAAAGGACTAAAAACAGGACAAATTGTTGCCTTTCATTCTTTAATTATTTTCTGTAGGTTGCGAGAATAAATGACCGTTTCAATTAAAAGATGCCAGAATCATGAATTAATGCTCAGAATATTTTGACAAATTTCTAGACCTTTGAGGTTCGGTGCGTCATTTAGCATTCCGTGCATTTCCTACGATCGTGATAGCCCACACAACAAGTTCGTGAGGCCATTGGCATGGCCGAAAACATCCCCAAGAATGAAGAGCATGGGCAAACTAAGCATTCATATACAAAAATTATCGAGTTACTGCACCCATGTATCCAGGAAGAAAACATGGACCACTTTACTCACAGAAATAAGGTATTATTTAAAGATCAACAAAAAATATATTTAGCCTTTCATTAACAATTATGTAATACGATAGTGGTTTATCCCTTGGTTCTGGTGAGGCGCAACAATCTTACTTTAAATTAGCCCTCTCGTACCTCGCTGGGTGGGCTGGCCTTTTGGGCCATGCCAATAGCCCAGACACCTTCTCCGTGCTGAATATATATATTCTGCCCGAGTATTTGTCTTCTTTCGTCTTCATGGAGTCTCGGGAAGCTGCATTTG